GAAACTCATGGAGTGACCAAGGGTTGCTCACAGTCTGTCTGCCTGACCTACTTCAGAGGGTTGTTGCAAGAGGTGAGGGAGAACAAGGTCTGAAGGAAGGATGGGACAAGCATGTAGTGAATAAAAATAAACACACCCTTACTGAGTGTTGTCACGGCACATAGTATTCACTTGTTTGTAGGATGGCTCTGCTCATTTCAGGGGCAAGGACCACAACGGCATGTGTTAGTCATGCAAAATAACTGGGGACAAATGTTTTCCCCCCATTTCCCCCAAAAATTATTGGCCAAATGTCTACAATGTTTTTCCCAATTTTCTCCTTTTTTTCCAGTTCATTCTTAACTTGAGAATTTTTCCATTCTTAAGTGTGGTTTGCTTTTTAAGTACACATGAAAATGCAGATAATTTTTTTGAGCATATGTCTTTTAATGTGTGTATTTTCCCTTGTATGCACAAAATTTGCAAGCACATTTCCTAATCTAATGCATTTATAATGTTCTTTTCATGAATATAGGTATTTTTGTGTTCAGGCTTCCCCAAAATCGAATTTTAAGAACTCCGTTCCAAAATTCAAAAAGTGCAAATTCCAAATGATAATGGGGTTTTCATTCAGGTGGTGGTGTGAAAGTGCAAAATTAGGTAATTCTCCCCAGCCTTACAAATAATAAAAAAACCCAAATCAATGGCACAGCTATCACAGAAAGGTTTTGTGGTGTTTAATACTTTAATGAATATCACAGGCAAAGAGACTCTTGTTTTAGAAAGGATTACATTCAGTTTCATTCCTCCTCAGTCTGCAGATATGAAGGACTGATAAGCACTAAACAGGCAATAGCAGACTTTCGCCTATGTAACCTTAATGACTTTATGTCAGAGCACATGATCAGGATTGTTCTTCTTCATAATCCCTTAGTAGTTAAGAGTTATGCAAGTCCTTACAAAATGTCAGCTGAGGAGGACTCACCATTTGATGAATGCAGTCTGGGTAATGATATGATAAATAATTACAATAAAAAGTTCTATATGGTAATAAACATCAGACCTACAGCTGAGAAAACTATGTTACCTCAAACTACATCTCACTTTAAAGTCATATACTCAATATCAGTACAAAAGTCTTTTCCAAGCCAGCCCTGCTGTTAACTGAGTGAGGCAACTGTTTCAGGCAGCAGATGCTGCAAGGCCGTGGAGGCAGGCCTCCAGCAGTTATTTCTGATCCAGATCTCTCCTGGCATTCCCATTTGTTGGAATCCAGAGCTCTATCTATCTATCTATCTATCTATCTATCTATCTATCTATCGATTTATATCCTGCCTTTTTACAGCTTACATCATTCTCCTCCTCCCACAACAACCCTGTGAGGTAGGTTGGGCTGAGAGTCTGTGACTGACCCAAGGTCACCCAGTTGGCTCCATGGCCGAGTGGGGACTAGAACCCAGATTGTCTGAGTCCCAGTCCCACGCTCTTAACCACTACACCACACTGGCTCTCCATATAGCTGTGACAGCTATATCTGTCACACACCCTGTTGGGCACCTCCTAAAACACCCTGCTCCCCCTCAGGTCCAGTGGAGAATACCATCATGTTGCCAACATTAAGTCAGAGTTATCTGCCATTCCTACTAACTTCTGTGCACAGAAGTAGGAATGCCATCTTGGCTATCATATCAGGCAAAAAAGGGAATTTCTCCAGCCCAGTGTCTTATCTGAGATTCAGAATAGGCCTCTTTGTCATGGAGAAACTGAAACATGGACAGCTATCTTCTAAAATTAAAGGGGAAAAGCAACATTATTCATTCCACTCTGGTTAGGGTTCTCCAAAGGCATGTTATGAAATGATTTTGCAAACAAATGTAGGAGGCATTCTCATTTCTTCTTCTACAGAAGGATTTGTGACGATGTGAAGAGAATTGTATGAACCACATGCTAAACTGCTCCAAGCAGATTTATTAGTGCAATGTGGAGTGATTTCAAGTGGCTTTTGAATGTTAGATGGTGTTTGTGAAGCTGGCCCAAACTTTGGGCCCTGTGTAAACAGCCATTGCAACTGAGTTTGCTTAAGGCAGAAGGCTATATGAATATTTACTTACATATGAAAGCAGCATAGATAGTATAGACCGGCATAGGAGGTATAGCTAAGTGTCAATATTTGGGTATGAAGGTCTGATCAAAAGTGATTTCTATAGACTTAATTTGAGCCAGAGTAATGTCAAGAAATGGTTATTTTGAAGCAGAGGTATTTGATTTTGCTTTAGTAAGAAATTTATGGGGGAAAGCGTATAGCTAATGCACCCTATTTTTAAAGACAAGTTGCCAACTGCAGGGTATTCAGGTAGGGTAATTAGGGAGCTGGACACTATTTCTTTGGAATTAACAGTGGAAGCAGTGGCAGCAACATTGGTAAATGTGAAGCAGTCAGATTTGTAGTAAAGGGCCAGGAGGAAGCTGGACCATATAATAATATGGTTGGTTATTATAGTAACCAACCAGCAAAACATATATTACCAAGTATGGCACTAAGTATAATAACTAGCATGGAACTAAAGTTAGAAAACAAGAGGCTGCACCTTCTGAGTTGGGCACTTCTATTGACCATGGTCTGGGGAGTGTGATCTTATGGCTCCTAAGCCCCCCGGCCATAGGACTGTTCAGCTGTCCAGACCCACAGTGGGAAAAGAGCTCTGACCTCAGAGTTGGAAATATGTGCTTAAATGCTCTCCCCACAGCTGGTGTAGAAAGAGTCATCCTGAGACCTTCTCCAAGGTCTTAACAGTTACCTTGGAAAGGGGGTAAAGAAGAGATTCCGGGTGTGGGGAGGCGAAAAGACTTGGTCAGCCAAGATCTCAGGTATCTTCACAGAATCATAGAATAGTTGAGTTGGAAGGGGCCATACAGGCCATCGGGTCCAACCCCCTGTTGTTGCAGGACACCGATTTGCACCATCCCACTGAGATGCCTGTCCAGTTTCATTCGGAGTGTCTCCAGTGTGGGAGAGCCCACCACCTCTCTAGGCAGCTGGTTTCACTGTCATATTGCTCGGACAGTGAGGAAACTTTTTCTGCTGTCCAGCGTGAATCTGGGTTGTTGCAACCTGAACTGATTATTCTGTGTCCCACACTCTGGCATCAGCAAGAAAAGATCTTGACCTTCCTCCTTCCTCTTGCAGAGCTCCTCCCTACTTCCCTCTCTGTCCAACATGCTACAGCTGAACAGCCAAAATGAGCCATCTATCTGCACCATGTTAGACAGGGAGGGAAGGAGGCTGGAGTGCCACCAGCAGATCGATCATCTATCTGATTCACAGGACGTAAGGATTAGGGAGGGAGAGGCCACCTTCATGCTTCCTGCCCCCCCTCCCCCCACAGAGGGTACCAGTACTCCTCCAAACTTGGAGGTTTACAGATTGCACCCTGAGTTAACTTGTTGTTTACACGGAAGAGAGGATATATAGTCTGTATTGACAGATTTAAATCCAACTGTTTTCTGTTCCTATACTAAGGATGAAAGCTATATGTGCATGTTACCTTTTTAATAGAAGCATTCTACTCTATTTTAAACTATTATCACTCTGTGTGAAAGCTGGCGAATTCCAGCAGGCTGATACTTCTCCTTGCCTGTGCTAAATTTTAGTTGTTAGGAAATGAGAAACTTTCATAATTCGAAAGTCTGGGAAAGTCACCAGTAAATGTTAATTCAAAATAGAGCTGCCAGGTTGCTGACGGGGATGGGGCGTTATGCTCACATGACTCCAGTCCTCCGTCAGCTTCACTGGCTTCCCACTGAAGCCCGGGCCCAATTCAAGGTGTTGATTATGACCTACAAAGCCCTAAACGGCTTGGGTCCTGGCTACCTGAACGAGCGCTTACGTCCGTATATGCCCAACCGCCCTTTGAGATCTGCGGGAGAGTTCCTTCTCCGGGAACCCTCCATGAAAGAAATTAGGAGAGTAAGTACCCGGAGGAGGGCTTTCTCTGTGGTGGCGCCCAACCTATGGAATTCACTCCCCAAAGAGGTCCGCCTGGCACCGTCGTTACTGGTTTTTCGGCGCCAGGTAAAGACCTTTTTATTTAAACATCATTTCAATTGTTAAAACATATGATCTGGCCAGGGCAACTTCTTCTTCCTTCTCTTTCTCCTCCTATATTTTTATTTTATACTGATAATTTTAATTTTATTTTTCTAAATCAATGTATTCTTTGTATTTTTATATTTAATGGTAATTTATTATGTACTATTGTATTTCATTGTATTTTATCATGTTGTAAGCCGCCCCGAGGTTTCGGCAAGGGGCGGCATAGAAATGCTATAATAATAATAATAATAATAATAATAATAGTAATTCCCTGCACTTGGCATGACTCATTGATAATCATGTCTGCATCCACCCTTCTTCAGAAGAGTTCAAGGTGACAAACATGGGAACTATCCCATTCTCACCATAAACCTGCAGATAAGATCAGACTAGGAGATTGTCAGAATGGACATTCCCATTCCATTACACCAACAGCACTCCAGTGCAGGCTTGTCTTGAGAAAGTGCCATTTTATTCAGTGGCTCTTACTGTCTACTGTATGGGATTCCAGTGTTTCAGCGCATCGTAACAAGGCAAGCGTCAACTCCAGTCTTTGTATTGCCATTTGGTCATGCCAACAAGCCCAAAGATAGCGAAATGCAGCCTTGGCGGGAGGAGGGGGGGAGGAGGTCGGGGCAAAGCTTGACTTTTAGACGCCAAACCTGTTTATTTTACTTTTATTTATGAGAAGGTCCTTGCCTGGGGCCTTTGCACACTTCTGAGTTGGAAATAAGGGCACCCTGCGAACAGCACCCCAGCAGGCAAGTGGAAGATCGCCATCACCTTCTTTGAGGGACATGCAGACTTGCTTAGGCTTTGCGCGGGCTCCCTTTCTCTTCAACAAGCAAGAGGCAGAGGCCGGCGGGGGAGACTCCTCCTCACGGGGTCGGCCCTTGAAGGAGGAGGGAGGCTTATAAAAGCCGGAGCGCGCGGGGCAGCGCGGTCTTGCCCTCGGTGCCTGCGGGTTTCAGTCGCGCGGGTTTGCTGGGCGGCGATACGGGGTCGAGCATGGCCGAGCAGTTCGTGAAGAGCAAGATCGCCCCTAACAAAGTGGTCGTGTTTGGCAAGCGCACCTGCCCTTTCTGCCACAAGGCTGTGGACTGTCTGGAAGAGCTTGGTCTGAAACCTGGGCATTTTGAATACGTTGATATCTCGAGCCGGAAAGACATGGAGGAGATTCAGAGCTATTTCCAGAAGACCACGGGCGCTCGAACCGTGAGTTCTCCCTCTCTCTCTCTCTCTCTCTCTCTCTCTCTCTCTCTCTCTCTCTCTCTCTCTCTCTCTCTCTCTCTCTCTCAAGGCTGAAGTAGAGAAGCGGGAGCGAGGGTAGCGCCCGCTTTTCAACTGTGCTAAGAAGCAGCTTCCTTTTCTGGTGCACCTTTTGCAGACCGTAACTTTCTTTGCACTAGCTCGGTTTCTCTGGCACTGTCGCTGCGTCCATCGGAGAACAGCAGTTCGGCGTCTTCTCAGGGAGGTCCGTTGTAAGGCGCCCAGAATGTCTCCGGGGCGCAAGTTGCTGAGCGAAGACTGGGAAGGGCGAGCACTGGGTTCATATCTTCGCTGCACTCCGTGGGTGACGTGTTATCGCTCAGCCCAGCGGTGAAGGGAGAGCTTTCAGGTGCGGCGGGCTGCCACTTTTGTCCTTGTGGCCTCACCTGCTTTGCCTCGGTGGGGGCTGAAGAACAGGTGCTCTGTCCAGAAGGGTGTGGGAGGTTAAATGAAAAAAGCAGCACCTGGCCTGCACCTTGCATCTGCTTGTAAATGCCATTTATTTGACGTGTTTCTATCAAGGTCATGCTCCTCATAATCCTTGTTAGGGACGTTAGGCTAGCGGAAAGTGACTGCCAAAGTCACCAGTGAGCTTCACAGCTGCAGGTGGGTTGGAGCACCTAACCCTTAGCCTGGTGCTCGAGCCTCTGCACTTCCCTGTTGAAACTGGTGGGATGTAAATGGCAGGGTTGCATCTTGTGTTCTTTCAAGACACGGATGTGTATCCTCAAAAGACTACAGCTATCTTGCAGGAATGGATGAAAAGCCTATCTTTCCTGGCAGTGATGCACATTCTCTAGAAGCATTTCCAAAGAACTCTAATGAGATGAGTGGTCTGTTTTTTTTTTTTTTTTTTAACAAAACACAGTGAAAACCATCTGCACAGCTTTGGGGGCTCTAGAGACCTGACTTCTGAATCCTGACCAGCATGTGCACAAAAATGGAAAGCCCAAAAGCAGCTTAGCTGTGCACAGCTTTCCACAGACCACTTCTTTTGTTTGCAGAATTTATTTATTTTAATTTATTTTATCTAAGGTTTTTGTATGCTGTCCCAGTTACTAAAAAAAGTCTCTGGGCAGCTTACAGAGAGAGTGAACCAAAAAAGAAAAAAAAATCAGAACCCATAACAATGACAACACACATCTTAAAAAATAAGTATACTGCATATAAAATTGTAATGAAAAACAAGAATAAAACCAGTTAATTATTAAAATACTGGGAAAATAAAAAGGTATTTGCCTGGCACCGAAAGGAAGAATGACAGCACCAGGTGAACCTCCTTGGGGAGCATATTCCATAGCCAGGGTGCCACCATGGAAAAGACCCTTCTCCAAGTAACTGCCTTCCTGATTTCCTTCAAAGAGGGTTCCTGGAGAAGGGCCTCTGCCTTTGATCTCAAGGAGTGGGCCGGCACACAGGGAAGAAGGCACTCCTTCAGGTATCCAGGAGCTTTGCATCATTGCCCTAAGAAAATGTGTTAGCTGCACTTACCATGTACAAAGTTTGTTCTCATGTTGTAATAGAGAAGCCAGAAAGTCTACCTCATTCAGACTATTCAGGATGAGTAATGGCAAAGCAATGGGTGCGGTGACCCACCTTTGGTTGGTTGCCAGAATTTTTTTACCCCTCTACTCCTGTGTTGCTAATGACTGCCTGATGTTATTTAAATTAATTAATTTAGTATAATTTCTATACTGCCCAACAGCCAAAGCTCTCTGCAAAAATTGTAGGAAAAAAACTTGTTTTCCTTTTCCTTGTGATAGAGGTAGAGTGAAAAAGCCAGCTTTCACCAGAGTGGAGCCAGTAAAAATGGTTCTGCCGAGAACTCTCCTTTGAAAGTCACACTGAAAAAAAAATCTGTGCAAATATATGGCAGTTTCTTGTGTCCCCTGTGAGGGAACTTCATGGCCGAATGCGTCTGTTGTTTTGTAGAGCTCTGGATCTAAAGATATCAGTACATCTTGAGAACTGTTCTTGTTTAATATCTAGCTTTTGGTCTGCAAAACAGGATGTTATAACTTCCTGGCATACAACTGACAAGCCAGGTTTGATGACCTTTACAAGCATGAAGTAGCCTAGGGCTGAAAACTTTCTCTTCCTGCTCTGCCACTTGCTTTTCATGCGGACAGCTTTCCGCAAGCCAGCTGACTTCCCTGCATCTTGTTTCCTTAGCCAACTAGTGCACAATGTTGGTCAATTTCTAAATGTTCAAATGGGATTCAGATTTAGCCATACTTCAAATAGAGTTACTGAAATCAATGGACTGAAGTTAAGCCTGAGTAATTAATTTCAAGTGAGCTCCACCCTCCTGCTCATACTGCCTTTCTCCTTGCTGAAAGAGGGAGTCAGAACAGACTCAGCTGGTGCTGGGAGAAACAGCTGATTCCCCCCCCCCCGAACTTGTTACCCTGTTGTCACCTATCAGAGTTAACAGTAGGAGTGCTTCATGGGGAGGCCAAGGGCTAGGTGCTAAATCTTTGTGAGGCAGTGACTCTGTATTCTGGGTATAAAGTCGGGATACAGTCCAGTGGGAATTATGGAGTCACTACATGCATTAGTAAAAATGTTGTGTGCTGGGGAGAACCTCCTCCTTGGCAAATCTAGGAAGTAGAGCTGGAGGCACATGACCCAATGGTCTCGTGGCCTCGTGGAGGTGAATGAACTCATTTTCAGGAAGATAAAATCATTTTTTGTACAACAAAGTTATCCCAGGTTTCTGTACCCAGTACAGAAAGCACATCTACAATAAAATCAGCTTTAACTAAGTTATTCGTTCTTTGGCCTGTACAATCCTGGGCCATTGGCAGATGCTGATGGGAGTTATAGTCCAAAACATCTGGATGGCACCTGGTTGCCTATCCTTGATGTAGATGGACTTGCTAGTGAATTAGAAGTTTTTGACAAGCTGCTGTTAGGATTCTCTTTTGTATAGCAATACGTTTGCATGTGGCTTTGCCTTGGGCAGGCCTCTCCCTGTCTCTTCAAGACTTGTGGACAAGTTTCCACTCTGCTTTTCCCTTCCATCACCATGTTTGTTCATAGCTGCTTCCTTTATGTTTTAGCTACTTATGCCGCACTTCAGAGAAAAGGAGAAGAATCATTAGACCAGTTTGGCAGATAATGCCACTTGCACATACTGAGCACATTTGCATGTCACTCCAGCCCACCAGGCAATAAGCCACAGTGGGCTGCTTGCTTCTGCAAGCAGTACATGGGCACAGTGGGCTGTCTGATCCCTCCTTCTCCCTCAGCCCTCCTACAGGCATGTCAGGGGACACTGCAGCAGGAGCAGTTTTCTTTCCCTCCCACTGTGATTGTCATTCCCATGTCCCTTGAAGCAGGTGCCCTAGAGAAAAGACTTTTAAAAGGAACTGGAATTTTGACAGGTAGCTCTTTCTGAGCAACTAGAGTCTCAGGAACAACTAGAAAGGTGGTAGCATCCTTAGGACAGTCAAGTCCCTTCCCACCCAGCTCCCAAAAGTGGAGGATCTAGGCTCAAAGGGGAGTTTAAATCCCACTGTGCCTCTTTGTAAGCACAGTTCACTTGCATCTTTGGTTTGGATGCAGCTACCAGATCAGACTCCACCAAAATGGGGGCGGGGCAGGGGAATGCTATTTGGAGCTTCTTTGGTTCAGTGGCACTTTGTCATCAGGTATCGCCATGGTCATTGCTTCCCATGTTCAGATCTCTTTAAGTGCACAGGTGCACACTTGCAAAAGAAGGAAAACATCTATCATATTGGTGCACATTAGAGGGTCCCACATTTTTCTTTATATGAAAGATTGCAACCATGGACAGCCCCTCCAAGCTGCCGCTTCAACACTTTGAATTGCCTGTCAAAATGGGGATCACGAAAGCTGGCTGACGAATGAGAGAGACAATCTCTGGGCAGGAAACCAGGGGGAAAGGGGGAAAGCAAAGGTGAGCTGGAATGCTTACAGTTATGGTGGGGAGGGCAGTAAGCCAGTGCTAGCCACTTAAAAGTGGCACTTGGGCACTGGTGAGGTGGCTGTCACTAGCAGGTGCATGGCAGGCTTGGCAATAGTGGCAACAGTGCTACTGCTTTTGAGCAGCACATTTACCCCTTCTCCTCATCCATGATAGCGATGGTCATCTTGCTGTAGAAGAAATGACAGCCCAACATGGATAGGAAAACAACCCCTGGAACAAGATAAGGTTGGCAAGGTGGCTTGTTGCCACCTTGTGGGAAATGGTCCATATTCACATGATACAACAATCCATCATGGCTTTTCCCCCATGATGGTGGGTGCCATGTCCTGCAAATTAGTCATTGTCTCATGAATTTCAAGCTTTCAGCCCTACTGTGTGATGCTAATCATGTGTCCTTGTTTTTTAGGTTCCTCGTATCTTTATTGGAGAAACTTGCATTGGTGGCTTTACAGACCTAGATGCTCTTAAAAGAAGTGGAGAACTTGAGTCCATGTTAAGGAAAATTGGGGCCTTGTGAAGGTAAGTGTCTGGACATATCTTCTCATCAACTTCAGAATGAGGAAGAAATATAGATGCAACACCCTGAAAGAATGAATGTGCAAGAGCAGTGTAAGTCTCGTGTCTAAGTCAGCATCTGTATCATTCAGCTAGATGCCAGTGCAACTACCTACACACAAAGAAACAGTGTGTACTTGTCTGCTTATGTAAACAGGTTAATACATGGTGCTCCACCCATGTTTGTTCATGGTCATTTTGCGGTCTGGACCCAACTGATTCCTGGTCTGCACAGAGGCCTTGAAAGGAAACCTGCTTCAGAAAGTTTCTTCTAATTTATGAAGGGCAGGAACAAAACAGTAGCAAAAATTAGCAGGAGCAATGATTGGTGTTTCATGTGACTTCTGATTAAAAGAAGAGGCAGCTGGTATCTTCTCTGTAGCTAGTTATTGCAAGGCATCCATTTCTTAGATTATAGTAGTACAATCTTCCCTCTGGATTTTAGACTGGGTATCTTGGTCTAAAACTCCCTTAATTACAAGCCAGCGTGGCTGCTGAAAGACACAAGTATGGAGAAAGGCTGTATTTGTACAATACAAGAAATGTACCATCTTGCAATAACTTGAACTCTGCCCAGAAATGCATTCCTCTTGACTGTCCTGAAGAAATCACTTAAGTTCTAGACCATGCTTACCCAACCTGGTGCCGTCCAGGTGCATTGGACAGCCATTGCTGTCCCAGATTGGAGGAGGCTGGTTTAGATGCCAGCAAAAAATAGTAAGGAAGCACCAAATGGGACAGAATACAGAGAGGGTATTCTCAAAGATTCCAGTAAAATGTGGAGTGTTAGTATTACCCACTACCATTGTGTTTTGGATAAAGAGCTACCTTATCATAGGCAGTCCTACAAACCTAAATTTTAAGAACATGCTAAACCATATTCCAGTGGCGCTCTTTCACACGACATCAGGGCTTGGAGATATGCACATAATTGCACATGTGCCTGGCCCTGGGAATAGACTGCTGCTTCCAGAAGATAAGCTGCAGATTCCAGGAGATAAGCTGCATCTTGAGCTGCCTCCCCGGAGTGTGTTTTATCTCTCCCTCCCTCCCTCCCTCCTTCCCTCCCTCCCTCCCTCCCTCTCTCTCCCCCTCTCCCTCCCCCTCTCCCTCTCCCTCTCCCTCTCCCTCTCCCTCTCTGTGACTTTGGGTCGGTGACAAACAACAGTGGGAGGAAGGAGCCCAAAGTGCCTGTCTGTTGGGTCACTACGTCCAGCAGGTCCTATTGCCATTTTCATTCACAAAGATCAGCTAACCTGCCCTGAAAAATCTAAGTGCCACCCTAGCATCTGCCCTTACTTTTCTGTAGTCTGCCTCTCACTACAAGCTGCATTTGCCTCCAAGCCTGTACCTGTAACAGAGTAGCATCCATCAAAAAGGTTCAGGGTATCTTCCCTCTTGGATCTTGTGCAACTGGCAGCCTTTGATCACCACCTTGCCCCTTTAAGAAGGGGTCAAGTGATGCAGTCTCTCGTGGGACTGGAAGGCATCAGTCTCATTAATCACTGTTTTATAAAAGGTACTGGGGAGGAGGGGTGAGAGTGAGGTAGGGTTTGTGGATTTCATTAAAGTTTTCTACTGTTTCCACCATAATCTAAGCACTGAGTGCTGGACTTGGAGACTTAGGGTAGTTGACAGGAAGAGATGCACCCCTATGAAAATATTCACTGTCCAAGTTGGTGTTCTGTGAGTGCTTCCAAAAATAGAGTAAGTTTGAAAAGTTCATACAGACCTAGGCAGTACTTGGCGGCTTAAGTGGTCCTGAGCTATCCATAACTATGTTTCCTGTGTCAATCTTAAATAGTGGTTGGCTGCTCTTTGAAAGCAGGCTTTGTCTTAAATACTACTAGGGTTTGTTGGAGTCGCTCAATGTCCTCTAACAGAAATCTTTCTGTGGCCTTAACTTAATCATTTTTCACTTTCAGAGCGGAGAGTACTGTGGGCTGAGACTACCTCATGCAGCAGCACAGAACACTGAAAATGAAATTGCAGTCTTTGCTTTCTGTTTTTCTCTGTGATGCTTGTTGTGTGTTTCATCAGTGAATGATGGTAGAGGGTTCTGTTTACTGTCTGACTTGCTAAGAATATGACTTTAATTTATTGCATCTTTTTGATACGTCTGTATCACTGCTAGCACATTGAGAACTATCAATTCTGACCCAGTACAATAAAATGTTTGTACTACAAGGACTTTGATCTTTTTTAAAAAAATACTAGTCTTTGACTTCAGTTCTATCAACCACAGACACATCCAACTGTTTTATACAACTTCCACTCCTTTCATTCTGCCCATCCCTTCATCCCTCCACTCCCTGGATGTCCAACTGAGCACCCTTTCCTCCCTTATTACAAAGCTTTAGTACTTTTCTTTAGGCTGAGAGAGCGAGAGAGCATGAGCACTCCTGTTAACCCAAGCTCATACACTTCTGGTCATCAATCATGAACAGGTGCTTCTGTGCCAGAGTGCAGTCTATCTTCTTCTAAATCAGGCACCCCCACTAGGCTGCCTTAGGGGCTAAATCCAGCCGACCTGGAGCCTGACTCATTGGTTACTTCCTTGCTTTAGTGCAGCTAATGGTGTTCAGACAAGCAAACAAAGCTTGCCCTCAGTAGCACAATCCCCCTTGCCACCGTTCTCTTGATAGTTGCCATTATTCCCTGAAATAGCAAGGTCCTTATTATAATACAGAGGGGTAAGGAATTGAGATGTTACTGTAATCAATTGAAGACTATCTAATGAGGGCAATAGCAAAGAAGTGTACCTTAAGCTCTATACTTCCAAGGTTGCATAGGTCAATTCATGGTGGTTACACTTGTATATTATTAGCCTTTAGCCTTTCACGGTGGTTACACTTGCATAATATTACAATTATCTGGGATACTTGTTTAGATTTTTAAAGATATGTACAAATCTTGCTTGTCGTGCCCTGCCTCATCACCTGCTGAGATGTCCACCAATGTGCTGATCTTGTGAGATGGCCTGGCCTTTCCGTGATACCTACCTCAAGTATCTTGCAAGATGGGCATATTAGCAAGGTAGGCCTTGCGAGATGGGCAAATCAGCAAGGCCTTGTGAGACAGGGCAGGTGTGGCAGCAATAACATGTGAGCATGGTGGTGAGGAAGGCATCGCAGTGCGGCAGGCATTGGATAATGCAGGAGGGAAGGCCAGGAGCACAAAAACAGCCAATCAGTGCTCTGTTGCCAGCAATTCAGCAGTTGCTTGACAGAACAGGGCAGTGGAAAATGGCAGCTGGAGCAGTTACAGTTGTAGCTGAATTTGCTGTTGGAAACATGGAAACTACAGGATAAGAACAAGTAATAGCAAATTGTGGAAACCTTAGAACAAACAGTTGGCATTCCATGGGGATTCACAGTAACCAAACAGACCATGCTTGCTGAATTCATAAATAACAAGCAATTCCTGTCATGGCTTGTCATTATGTGTGAACATGTCTGAAATCAGTGGGACAGAAGTGATTCTTGATGGGAATGCTGTACATATTACATTGAAATCCAATCCCCTATCTACAGGCCTAGCTCATTTGGCTCAGAAGAAATGAAATATATTTTGTATGTTTTTTATGCAGTGGCTGAAAAAGGTTGCTGTCATCCCTTTAGGTATATGCACTGAACCTTGCTACCAAAAATGCCTAGGTCCTAGCTCTGGAACATTCTGAAGATGCCTTCCTTTATGGGTGCCTGCAGAGAGGCCACAACACAATCATTGACCTCTTAAGCCTCTCTTTGAATAATAGGAAGCATTAATCAATGCCACGTGACTCGACAAACCTTGTTTTCTTGTTAGCTATGCAAAATTCAAGATGACCTAACTTCCATGTTACTGAAATGTGCCCTTTGTTCTGTTTTGAATGGGGAAGTGCTAAGTAGCATAACTGCAGATTTCTTTTTGAAGTTGCTGTCATCAAGTCCACTTACAAGTGTTTTAATATAATTTTAGGCTTATGTTTTTAACAAACTGTTTGCATAGTGACTGTATAACAATCAAGTTTTTGAACAAGTTCATTTAGCTGTACTGGTATTTTCCATCCCAAGAATGCAAGACATGCTACAAAGGCTGATTGAAGTTAATGTTGCTCATATGACTGCACCCCACAAACCACTCCTGTATGAAACTCATAGAACACTGGTCTCAAGATAACTTGCAATTTACATCCTACTGCTGAACCTGCAAGGAAATTTGTGGCAGTGGGTCAACCATGTGATCACTCTTTGAGAAGCTGTTAAATCAGGGAGCTAAAGGCACGTTTCATAAGCCCAGGTGTGATGTCCTTGCTAGTACTAGAATTTTGAGCCATCAGACTAGATTTTGGAAGCTCTAGATTCTTACATAACTTTCATACATTGCATTGCACAGTCTTGCATACTTTAAGGCCTGTTTTCAATCCAGGAGTAAAGCATAGTTAAAATTATGAGGTACAAAGGGGTTTCCCATGTATCTGTAATGTATGTGGCACAATGACCTATAAATAATAAATTATACATATTGTAAGTTATGGATGTACTATCTGAATGTATCCACTATGAAAAAATTGAAAGATGATAAAATACACATTCAAGCATTGCTGCTTTCAATTATCAAGAATCACATAAAAAGTCATAGTAAAAACTTTTTATTGTCTTATTACCAGAAATTAAACAGTGCATTGATAATTGTGTAAATTTAAACCACCTACTAAGCTGTTGGAAGCATTGTTACATATTACATACATGCCATAAAAGTTACTTTTAGCTACACACACTTATTCATGTAACAAGTCTATAGCAAACCTCCTTACTATGATCTTACGGTGACCTCTCTATATGCCTTCATGCTACTATTTGCAACTTTATTTAAGAAATTATAACTGTACATTATTGGAAACCATTGTCTTATAAAAATAGACTTTAAAGTGATCCCTTCAATGTGTGAACACTCTAGAATGCTATTTATTAATACCTGCTTATTAATGCATCTATTAGAAATGTAGAAGCTACTACAAGTTGTAAACTACCACTGCAATCCTGTACATGCTATCTCAGAAATAAATTCCATTAAGTTCAATGTGGCGTTGGGCATGAGATTGTCATCTTAATAGCTCATGAAACTCCCGCGGCAAACATAAGAGAAGTTACAAGTTGATCCTACCTGTGAAAGAGAGGAGAGGATTTAACTATCATTGACAATATTATGGTACAATGCATGTGCATGTCGGTAAAATTGTAAGCACATCGTCATGGCTCATTTGGCATATCAAGCTAGGAGTCTGAGGTAACTACTCACAAAAATAAAAATCCACTGTTCTATCAACATTTTAATGGCCTTGATATTTTCCAAGCTAAACTAATTCGAACTTGTTCAAATATGCTCACCTGGTAACATCCCTTACTGGAATGAAGATCCATGAGCACCTCAAGTGATTTCTAGGTCTACAAAGCCTCAGTTATTTTCCCTAGAAATTTCTGGTTTTTATTCTTGCCATGCAGTAGGACAGTTAGTAGTTCTGCTTTTTTCCCATTAAGTTTAATGAAGTTACTGTTTTACAGCATCACTGCACCCTAGCAGGCCATAAAATCAGGCCTTGCACTGAGATATAAGTTTTAAGAGTAAAATATAAATCTGTAGTAAATACCTATGTGTGGCTACCCATTTCCAAGTGAACTGATAATTTGCCATAAACCTTAATTTTAAAAACACATTTGTGTTTAAAAATTATTCCCAAAGCGTATAAGCCCAAATCACTGCATTATCAAATCTATTTGTGATTTGCAGCAGTTATTCAGAATTCGTATCTAAAACATGCAAGAAAAAGAGTGCAATCAGAAATCAAACCTATTCTGTGTACTTTAATAATGAGATGTTGGTCTATAAAGATAATGTCATGCTTGCCCTATTGATTTTTTTAAAAGTTTTACAATTCTATAATTAAAACAAAGGTACAAATTGTAATGGATATTTTTTACACTTCCACATTAATTTTGGTATGTCAAACAAAAAAAGAAACTTTTTAAAACTGCCTCCTTAAAAAAATCTCACTCCAAGAGATCAGTTTCTAGCAACCCCACAAATGCTTCACATTTTAAAAACCATTAAAATTTAATATAAAACATTATTTACATGGGCCATGGAAATCTATGTGAGTTATGGAAGAAAAATGATGTTGTACATTGCCTCAATGTCTAGGTTCCAGGCTGTAAGAATACTATTCAAATCTCATCTCAGGTAACTTGGGCATAATCCTACATCATGCATGTGCATGAGGAAAATACAGCACATGTGAACACAGGGCTTGTGGATTTAGGTGAGCTCAAGTGCCACACCAACACAAGCTATCACCTTGGCAGGCGCCTGCCATTGCATGGCAGGAAGCACCTCTTTCCTTATGGGGAAGCATGAAGCCCTCTGAGTGCTGGACAGCTGAAGCATGCAGGTTGAATTCAGTGTGGCTGCATGCAGGGCCTATCTGCAACAAACTGACTGAGGGCTGAGGGGAGGGTATGTCAGCCAAGGCACCATATATTTGGGATGGGTGCTAGCATCCCACAGCCCCTACCTGAGCTTGTTAGTTCAACTTTCACGATAGGAAATGACAGAAGGAACTGAGTGGAATAAAGTGTTCCAGCTCCTTAAATCCTGAAGTCCAGAATCAGTATCTCTGTCTAGAAGGTGCCTCCCTCCATCCCAGCCTCCAGAACACCAAAATTTAAGTGACAAGTCCCAGTTCAGGGACAATTGCCTTGCAGGTTTGTAGTATTTATTTGATTCTTTAGCATGCCTTTCTATTTCTACCAAGAAATAGCAGTCAAAATATTTACAAAACAATTTAAAATAGACAACAAGGAAAAACATTCAAATATAATTCTTACCAATTACCAAAAAAAAAAAAAAAAACCCTCCAAAAACCAAAAAAACAGCACCCTCACCACAGGTCCATTTACAGGTCTAAAGCCTTCTTTAATAAAGCCATCTTTGCCTGCTGTCAGAAGGACAATAGAGAGGGAGCAAATCTAGCCTCCCTTGGGAGAAAGTTTCACAGCCTGGGAGCAGCCACCAAAAATCCCATCTCTCGTGTTGTCACCAAATGTACCACCAATGGCAGTAAGATGAAAAAAGCCTCTCCAGAAGATCTTGAAGACCAGGAGGGCTTCTGTAGGGGGAGGTGGTATTTCAGGTAGCATGGTCCCAAACCATATAGTTTTCAAAGGCAGTCTCATATAGAACATGTTACAGTAGTCCAAAAAGGATGTAACTAAGGCATGTGTGACACTGACCAGATCAACCATCTCTAGGAAGAGGTGCAATTGGCATGCTATCCTCAGCTGTGCGCTCCTAGCCACCATGGACATCTAGGCATGCAGGTTAAGGGCTGAGTCCAATAGCACACCCAAGCTGTAAGCAGAAACCTTCAGGGGGAGTGTAACACTCTCCATTACTGATGGAATCCCTTTTCTCTGATCTGCCTTTCAATTAAAGTTCAATTTGTTTGTCCTCATCCAGTCTATTACTGACATCAAGCATGAATACAGAACACAAACAGCTTCCTCAGATTTAGAAGGAAAGATAGAGGTGGGTGTCATAAACATACCAGTGGCATCTAACACCAAACTTTCTGGACAAACTTTCCGGACAAACTTTCCCTATTGTTTAATTTGTATGTTAAATAGCATGGGAGATAAAATGGAACCCTGAGAGGAAAGGGTCAATTGCTATGGCATCAGGAATCCCACAGCACCACCTTCTGAGATCACCCCTCCAAGAAAGGTAGGAGCCACCATATAACAGTGCTTCCCAATCCTCTCTCAGGCAGATACCCTAGATGAATACCATGGCTATGGTATCAAAAGCTACCAAAGGGACCAACAAAACTAACACCCTCCCACTCATCACTAAGGCAACTAATGCCACATTCATCCACCAAGAAAACCAAATCATTCTCTGTTCCATAACAATACTTGATCGATCTTACTGTAAAATCCCTAGAGTAGAAAAGCCACTGTACATTCTAGCACTGTGGTTTAGAATAGAATATTAGAGATCAACCAGAATTAAATAACAGAATGGGGACGAGGGAAAGGTTTTTTTTTAACAAAAGTTTTGCCTGTTTCATTTAGGAAAGATGAAATCATAACTTCCCATAAAGAAGCTCTCATCACTGCCATCATCAGGATGTCCCCACACCAACTGCTTTTCTAAGTAGGGAAGCACAAGAGTCCAGCACACAAACGGTAGGCCTTAGTTCTCCAAGGATCCTGCCATTCAATTTGAAATGTATCCAGTGGAATTGGATGATTTCACTGGAATTGGGCAACCAGAAGCCAAAGTGAAATCCACTCTATGGCATCTGGCCAGGTACAAATACAGTCCATTTTATCTGCAAAGTGTCACACAAATTGATCACAGCATGCTGCACTTCATCTTCTTGCAGGCTACAGTGTAACAGGCCACTGAATACCTTTTAAAAAAAGGGAGAGAAACAATCCTCCTCTGGGCTACTCTAAGCAGAAACAAAGGTAGCAATTTCTTCACTCATTGCTACAGAGAAGGCTTTCAAATGAGCTCTAGCCTGTGTTTCAAGTTTCATGTCAATCTTTTCTAGTTGATAGTCAACTTGTTTCCACCCCTGCCATATGCTGGAAAACCAAATCATTCAACTGGAGAGAAAGCTCAGCAAAAATCATGTCAACTACCCCAGTCATTTGTTTCTACCAGTGATTAATTAAGATTAGTGAAACTGCTGCAGAGGTGATGGGAAAATCCCCCAAACTCATCAGAAAGTCATCCAGATCCATCAGTCTCTTGGACCATCTTAATTGCTCCCCTGTAGAAATTTGAAGTTTCTACAGCAAGTCTAAATCCCATAAACATAGTAAGATCCTCCACCTCCAGATCATCATCCTCTCATCCTACAGAGAAAGCCAAATCCAAAGAATGCCCTGCTGAATGAGTGGGGCCAAGTAGTAACTGGGGCAAGAAGTCTAAAGTCACTCCTAACAAGGCTACCATAGTGCGTATGCTAGAAGTCCCCCTGCAGAAGTAAATGGCGAGACTGTATCACCAAGACCACTTTCGCTAGCTCAGCACAAGCGATTGTTGGTGAGTATACCAACAGAATTCCTGAAGCTGTCCTGAAGCTGCAGATGTATGTCATACTTCAGATATCCAGCCTAGAAACTGGAAGACAGTGGAGATGTGGCACCTGGACCGGGCCAATGAATTACACTAGACCACTGCAACTCTGCCACTCCAAGTTTTGCCTGCAACACCTTGAAGAGCCCTTTCTGCAAACATGGGAAAAATTTAGTCCCCCACTCTTAACCAAGTGTCCATAGTATGGGATGGCACACTTATAAAGAATCAAGTCCTGGATGGCTGATTTTTTTTTCCCATTCGCCAAACTGGCATACCCAGCCCCCTACATGTAAGGGCAGTTATGCACTTTGCTGATTTCAAGAAACAGATACTTTTGTAAATCTGTTTCCCTTCACATACACTTCTTAAAAATAATTTCTGTTAAGTAATTATGTGGAAAACATTAGGTCATAATTTGTCATCTAGGTATTTAGTGTTGTTAAAGAACTCTGATGTTTCAGTCATCCTCTCTTGACTTAAATCATTCTGAAAACATATTTGTAAAAGGACATAATGACTCAGTCATCCCTTGCAAGATAGGAATAAGCCAAAAAAATGGTTGGCACTATTTTGTTTTATTAAACACCTCAAAAACATTAATACCAGGTCCCCTGGACTGTGTTGAGCTGATGTCTGGAGGATTTTTCTTACAAAATTCTTCAGGCCCATAAATAAATTACAGAAATCTTAAACAGAACCAACTAGCAAACAAAAAGTGGGTTAAATGAAATCTCTCTTCTTTGGATTCTTAGAATGTCAATCACAGAGGCTGACAAGATTTCCATCCTCCTATTAATAAATATCCCAGACCCAATAGCACAATTGACAAATGTTTATGCTGACCTACAACTTGTTTCACATGCTTTTAAAAAGTACAGTATTCATTAGCATGGAAGCTACTATATAGCTTTTTTCACAGGACTTAACCTCAGTATTTTCTTTCATTCTTATGAAGCTGAAAGATTCCTCAAGCAATAGCCATTCTGTGACTCTTCATAAATGAAGAAGGATCAAGTTTTCAGTTTACATTACTAGACAATGGCATTTCCGAGAATGAATGTAGTTCCTGTACTCTGCAAGCTGTTTCAGGTACACACTAGAAGGCCATCTATGCATCTCAACAAAATTGCGTTCTTCCACTAAAAGAAGAAAAAAAAAAAAAACAAAGCTTTATATGTCGTCATACTAAAATCTGTGGTGTCCAAGCTGATATACCTGAACAACTTCTGAATTTTTTCTCTTGAAACCAGAAATTTGTAAGGTTCTACCAAGTGTCAAATGTGAACTGCCAAATGACATCTTCAAGCATCCTTGTACTTAACTTGGGCTGTAGACAGACATGGTAAAAAGCAATTAAACTTTATTTAGCAACAATGTATATGATTCAGATGGCATGCACCTGATGGTTCTGTATGGATCTATGCCCTGACTGGAATCCACCCAGAGTAGAGCCTTCAGTTTCATTTCTCTGGAATGTATTACCTCCAGTGGGTAAGGCACGCACCAACATTTGTGTGTTTCTGGCACCTCCTAAAAGCATCTTTATGTCAGAAATCCTTCCTTGACTGACCAGCCTCTGTTTTTCTTAATGATACTATTTGAATGCAACATTTTATATGGTTCTTATCATTTTAATCTTTTTATTGTTCACCACTTCTTATTATGTTTAGATGTGGAGTGCTATCTACAGTGGTACCTTGGCTCACAAACTTAATCTGTTCCAGGACTCTGGTCGTGACCCGAACTGGTCATGAGCCAAGTCAAATTTCCCCATAAGGTTCAATGTAAATAAGGTTAATCTGTTCTGTAACCATTTTTTAAATCACAAAAAATTGAAGCAAAGTGACAAAGAACAACAAAGAGAACAACAAAGATCGTGGCCATCTCCCCCCCCGCCCCCGAGTGCAGCCATCTTCACCCCCCCACACACAACTGCAATTGCGCCCGTGTTCCCTGCACGAGCTTGACTGCGATCGCGGGGGGAGACGGCCGTGATTGCGGGTGAGCTTGGGGGGAGGCAGGTGTGATCGCGGGTGCACTGGGGGGGTGATGGGCGCGATCGTGATCGTCACCCGATGCAAAGTTCGCGACCTGAGGCAAAATTTTTCAGAAATTTTTGTTTGCAATCCGATTTGGTTGTGAACTGAGGCATCCATGAGCTGAAGTACCACTGTACATTTCTAAATTTAGTATGAAGGAATAGTCCATATATTTTCCCAGTAGAAAAAAGAAATTGAAACATGGAATTCAGAGATTTTGGAAGACAGGGCATTGCAGCTTCTGTCCAGACTCTTTATGAGCCAATCACCATATTTTACTAGACAAGAGAGACAGATCATTTTCCCAGTATGAAATACTTACAGCAGTTTGGGTTATAGGTAAGAATATAACCCTTGAAGATGATGTACAGACAAGCGACAATGAACTATAGGGCTTTTAGGAACTAGCTATCATAGCATATTTTAACCAACATATTTTGCTAAGCAGAAAGGCAGCTAATGTACACAGGCTGCTCTCACCTCTTATTATTACCCCATCCCTATTTACACCTCCTCTTAGTGATTTAGACCTTGACTCCTGTTCTGATAATAAATTGCAACTGCCTAGAGCTGATGAAGGTGTTCCAGTTTTGGATTGCCTCATGGTTTCTCTTAAGCATTTCTTCTCACTGGATCCTTGCTGGGAATAGAATTTTCTTCAGCCTCTCACCATTCATTTATTCACTCAGGGTTAGCTCTGTCGTTGGGGAGGCATTGTGCAAACCATGCTATGTGGGTTGTTCAAATGCTTACCTAGTCTTACTTCGCCACAGGAGTTCAGTGGGCACTGGTGTTTGACAGACAGAGGTTATAGAGAGGGACCATCACTGAATCTATTCCTTTTAAAGAGAAAAACATGTAAAGGAACCAGTGATCTCGGAGTAGTGCAGGCAGTAGTGCCTCTTCTTCTTGACTATTACTGGCTGGCTGCCACCACTTCACCCATTTCTGCCAACTCAGAAGAGTAATGTAGGTGGCAACTTCCACCTACCATTTGTGTTACTGTGGATGCTTAGAGAAGGAAGTGGTGGCCAGACAGCGATGTTATGGAGAAGCATTGTTGCCTGTACTATTCACTCTGAGCTCCCCCACTTACACAGTTGCAACTCACCAGAGTAGTGCAGAGAAGCACCTCCCTCTGCTCCACTGCTGGCTGGACACTACGCTGCTGTCATACTGTAATGAATTTCCTTTTCTTCAATCCATTTGGAGCCTGTCCCAATATTCCTTCTTCGGGAGAAGGAAGATCATGGCAGTGACAATGGCTGTAACTGACATACATGGCACTATTTCTTTATGTTATAGGTCTTAAAAACTGTTAAGAGGGCAGCAGAGACCCAGTGAATTTTTGACCAACTGCAGACACTGCATGCCAAATACAAATGGTAGGCCTCTTTTCAATCCCAATGGTTTCTCTTGGCATTTTGTGCCACATGCCTCCCTTATTAATTAAGTAAAATAACCCAGAGTCAAATTATTATCCTTAGGATAGTAGTTGGGGGATGTTAGATGTGTGAGAGAGTTATGCCTCAACTTTTATTTACTGACAAGTTTTTAGGGGAATTGATTGGTCTGTGTTTCTTTTTCTTTTTGCCTTCCAATTTTATTCTAGTCTTGCTATTTCACTAATCTCCAAGAGTTGGCCATACCCTTTTAAAACCTATTAAGTACTCTCTACAACTTTGGAGAGCTTTGAAGGGATCTGTGTCTCCCATCAAAGGGTTCATAAAATTGCCTGGCATTGTTTTTGTTTGACAAACTTCAGCAATTCTTAAGTATTTAAAAATTCTTAATTTAAAGGCAGATTCCAGTTGATTTTTAACGATTTGTGAGGATGAGAGAATTCTGTCACTCTGCTAAAGAAAAGTAGTACCACTGTGCCTTCATTTCACTACTGAAACTGCAAAATTATTCCACTTACAAAATTCTGGTTTTTGTTTAGGAAACAAATAGGTAAATTACCTGATAGGTCTTCAAACTCAGGTTTTTGACTGAAAATTAGGTAATTAGAAGCAATAAAATGAAGCAGCCAATTTGAAAGGCAATCAGAATTATGAAACTGTGAGAAAAAAGAAATGTAAATAAGATATATCAATTACAGAAAAACTATTTTGGCACAAACAATAACTAAATAGGTAGTTGGTTTGCAAGAGGATGGGCCTCATATTTACATCTAGAAGTAACAGAAGGCTTTAGCTATGTCTGTCCCAGTGCAATTCTACAGCTTCAATATGCACCCAATATACTCTTAGTTACATTAAACTTTAGAATCTACAATGTAGAACTAGTCTATGCTGACTGATGGTTTGATTGTATCAATGACAATAAAGCAGGGGAGCAACCTTAGTAATGTTTTTCTCTCACCTGAATAGAAAACTTTATCCTTGGGCTAGGACTAACTACAGAACTAAATGCTACATGAAACCTAAGACCTGAATCTAACATAGCATTAACAGAAAAAAATTGCTGCACTAGCAGAGTCCCACTGCCTTTTTCTTCTCTGTAGACCACTTGGTAAATCCAAAAGTTGAATGTAGCTGCACAGGCAGAATTTTAGTTGGATTCCCCTTTTGCGCATTATCTGGTAGTTGGTTTTCACCAGAGCAATATCATTTGCGTCTTTTTCCACAGCAACCCAGAAGCAGTCTGACTGCCACTTCAGTGCTGTTGAACACCCTAGTTCCCTCCCTTACCTTAGATCTCTTGTCAGAGAGCAGAGATAAGCAAATGGTGGGTAGTGTCACTATAGGTGCACATCCCAACAACAGGCACTGCGCAGGCACAGCATCCATATATGTGTGATGCACAGAGACCACAACAAAGAACTAAAGATCATCTTTGATGCTCCCCCTGCTCTGCATAGGATGACCTTAAGCTTCCAAGTTCAGTGTAAGTGATCCTCAAGGGCTCAAACTACAGAAGTGCACCCTAACTGACACAATAATCTTGACATGGAAGAGCCATTTTATGAGGACAATGTCCAGTAGAAATAAAGTAATCTCGAGTTAGAAATGGGTAGAGGCTTTCAACAGTTCACATTTTTAACATCATATTGCAAAGTATATAATCTTCAAATGTCCTGGTCACCTCAGATAGGTGACAGGACCAAACCAGGAAGTCAACCTTTGAAGCAGTCAAAGGGTATCCACCATTTAAGAGAAGTTTGATGCTATGGAGCAATTAAGAGACAATATAGTTAGACCCATGCCATGAAATGTTTTATTTGCTGATTTCTTCAGGCCCTTGTTAGACAGACAGAAAGAGTCCAAGCAGTTTTATTATTTCTTTTGTTTTGTTTTCAGTCAACTGAAAACCCTTTCCTCTGAAAGGATAGTGTGGTATACCACAGCTTTTGCTGGCTAAAAAAACCCCAAGAAACATTTACCTTTGCTTTTCGAAGCAAGCTGACAACACTAAGACTTGTTGATGCCAATTCCCTACTAGGCATACTTTGGAGCTGTGTGATGATATAAAGTTCACAGATGTGCTGGAGCCTTGATACCTGGTACATCTCAGCACATATCAAGAGTGCCATGGCTTGCAGAATGCTGGCTGGTAAAAATATCAGATCTGAATTAGATTAAAACACATTTGCAAGCAGCATAAGCAAGACACCTAATCAACTGTGCTGGTATAATTCTCCTGATTCATGCAGGTCAGCAGTCATTTTTAAGCAGGTCTTTATCTAAACACAATCTTCTGAAAGGTGCTTGATGTTTGATATCTATGAAATAGGCCTTGGCTACACATTTCCAAAATGGCTTTATCAAAGACAAATGCACAGACATCAAATGTCTACATTTCCTATGACCTAATATATTCCTATGTTTGTCAGAAGAGTCATGCACAAGTTGACAGTCAATGACCAATCATCCTTCTTCACTGAAATAAAGTGGTTCTAAGGAAACTCATTCTGCAATCTACTTTAGGCAGTAGACATACATTTTAGCCAATTTAATCTCATTAATGTTTGTGGAACTAATTAAGGTTATTATTTTTATTTAAAATTATTATTTTTATATAACTGGGTGGTGAATCAGGCTTTTAGGAATCTCAGTTACTCTGTATGAGATATAACCTATGTTGTAGAAAGGATGCAGAATACACAAGGTTATTTTTTTTCTGGAAAACTCCACTGTACACAGCAAGAAGCTATGGAAGACTGCAGCACAACTGTAATCTTAAAGCATTCTACTGGTGATTTCTTCAACAGCACAGAAAAAAGCAGCAAATAGGATTAAACAGTATGTGGGAAAAATACAAAGAGAAACATGAGTTAGCAAGAAGTGGTTTGTTTTTAAGTGCTCTTGTATATGCTTCTTGGAGTTATATCTAATTTTAGAGATTGCAGCTGGAACAGTTATAAAATCAACATGGACATACTTACATTCACATTTCTTTTCTAGTTCAAAAATAAAGAACATTTTCTAGTTAGAAAATGAAGCAAGGAAATAAAGTTTTGGCAGTATTACTGCTGTGATGGCCAATGCTGTGGGGTTATGTGGCACTTGGCCTATACTATACCGAAGGGGAAGGGTGACTGTGCTTGCCAGCCAGTGTCACATGGCATTGACAGAAGAGAGCTGGGTCAGTACAGTGTAATTGTGACATACGTATAGATGCTGACATACCACACAGAGTTCTGACCATTTTAAGAAAAGATGCTAGAAACTCCAAATTGTATGTCTTGAACTATTCCTCAGGGCACTGTACCACCAAATTTTGACTGGTCTACTTTCAATTGTTTATTTGGTAAATAATAAGAAAAGGGTAGAGGAGGTCTTTAGAATAAGAAATTCTCACTTCCTGGGAATGGCTCCATTTGGACAGCAGCTCCAGAATGAATCTGCTGAGCAGAGAGATAGATCCCTTAACTGAGAAGCATGTGCAGTATAGTCCAATGACGGAGGACCTTTTAGAGACTGAGTGCCCAAACTGCAACTCAGAACCCACTTATTTTTTGCAAAGTGCCAATACTGCAATAAAACCTGAATTTGCTGGCGACCAGCACAAGGGGGCATCATTCCACTGACCACCAGCTTTTGGCTGACCCTAAAAAAGGCATCTGAGTGTATTTCCTACCTGAATGTATTTCCTACCTTTTGCTAAAATCACAGCCAGTCCAAGCAAATCCCCAGCAGCTCACTGACCGGCCATGCGAAGGCTCAGTGAGTCACAGCTAATCAGTGACTGGTGCCCTTAATCTTTCTAAGTATGTGCATGGCTGCTGGGGCAATCGCGTGCCAACAGAGAGGGCTCTGTGTGCCCCTCCGGGCACATGTGCCATAAGTTCGTCATCACTGGTATAGGCTGTTCTAAAGGCAGGATAGATATGTTGCAAGTTGGGCGCCCCCTCAGTGACAGGTAAGGATACTAGTAACTTTGGGAAATGTGGAATTTTTCAAATCCAATTGCAGCTTTCCACTTTCATTTTTTCAGAGCTCAATCCCATGGCTTCCTGATATTGACTCACAGGCCACTAGATTATTTATAATCCCCCTCACAGCAAGGGCAGAAAGAACCTGGCTAGCTGCTTCCCCAAGGAAGTAACTGGGCCTCAAGAGAGTCAAAAAAGACATGTGTCAGGTGGCAGGGAAAGAAGAAAGCTGGATCCAACAGCTTATGCTGATTCCTATTTGTGCCCCAGTGTTCTCTCACACCTCCCATCCTGCTTTCCCCAGCACTTTATCTAAATGGCTGAAAATGGCTATCTAAACAAAATACATGGCACAAGGTGCAGTGGTGGCAGAAACTACACCTGCACTGCACCTGTACCTCACACGCAAAGGCTTACAAGCATCTGAAGTGGGGATGGGGGGGGGGCAGGATGGATTGTACCCATAGTTGCACCCATAGTCTTTGCAGGCTTTGAGCTTACAACCAAAGCAGTGGTTTTTTGTTGTTTACATGTTTTTCAGTTATAGATTTTATTATTGCATGGTTTGGATCATCAAGACAGGTATGTAGTAGAATAATACTCAGAATTATATACAACAAATACCCCAGATCAGTACATTTTGCAGGAACCTGAAGAGTAAATCTAAGGTTATCAAACAGTATATTCAAAAGACACTTGATTTGCAACCTGCTCAATTTACTCAAAATGAAATCCAAAGTTCAATGTGACTTCCTCCCAGTTACTATTCTTAGGAAAGCAGCTGTCCAGCACAATCCTATCCAAATATGTGTGGAAGTAAGTTTCCCTGCACTCAACAGGATTTATTCCCAATTATGTACACAATGGAATGCAGCCTAGGTCAACTACAGAAGAGAATGAAAGAGGTCTGTCTGGTAAGTATCGAGTTCTGTCTCCTACCATCTCTCTACTGAAGCAGCAATCTGAGTAAGAGTTTACCAGACACAAGTGAAATTTAAAGATATGAAAACATTTTGGTATTTGCTTACCTGGACAACATGAGTCAGTATACAGATACTCAAGAAAGGACAGGAAAGTGTCTTTTGAAATCCCATAAACTGGAACCAGAAAGCTATTAGATTCTATGTAATTACCATTAAACATAGCTGCCATTACCTCACAGCGAGCCACCAGGACTGCTCTGTGAGCTGGCACAGTAGCATCTACAAGAAGCAGAGCAGGGGAAGTGGAGAGAGAGAATGAAAATCATGAGAGAACAATTTCAAATTTCTCCTGTTACAAAGTAATAAACTGAAGAGCTATATTTACTTAAATTCTCCACATTAATGTTTCAAGAAACACCAACTGTGGAGAACAAATTCTACAGTATAATTAGAGCAAGATTTGGATCCAAGTACTTTAGGTTGCAATATTACTCCAAATGCCTTTACAAAACTGGATTACTATTCATGTACACTTACACTGTGATTAAGTCCTATTTAAATCAGTGGGACCTAATGCTAACTAAATAAATACATTTATAAAATAAAATAAAATAAAATAAAGTAATAAACAAATAAAATCATATTCTACAAGTTACTACATCAGCAAAGAAGAGGATCTTGGGGGTGGGGGGGGCAACGGAATGACTCAAGATGTTGCACTGGTAAGGCAGGATAACATTTTATAAAATATGAAAAGCCCACCCTTATTAATGCACACAACAGTTCCCTCTCCTATTCTGACATGGCTATGAAAAAAATCAGAAGCTTTCACTTCTAAATCTAGCTGTCCCGCAGAACTGGTTGAGTAACTGTACTCATTGAGTGCTTGATAGTAGCTCTGCATCGTCACTGATGCAAGTCTTTACTTGGACATCTGCTCAACATTTTCATAAATGAACTGAGTGAGGATGCAGAGGGCTCACATATCAAAATCAAATATGGCATTAAGTTTGGTGGAATAGCCAAAACCACAGAAGTTTTAAAAGTTTTTTTACAGGCTGGAATACTGCCATGACATGAACAAGTTTAAATTCAACAGCAAAATTTTTTTTGCATCTAGGCACAGATACAGATTGAGGGAAACCTGTCTCAGCGAAATGTGAAAAAGACCTGGGTATCTTAGTGGATCACCAGCTGAGGATTAGCCAGCACTAACACAGTGACACTGCTACAAAAGCTAACACAATAGTAGGCTGCATTAACAGAAATACAACATACAGATCACCAGAAGTAATAGTTGTATTCTATCCTGAACTGCTCAGGCTACATTTGGAGTACTCTGTCCAGTTCTAGGCACTTCATTTTGAGAAGGACATGGGCAAACTGAAACATGCCCTCAGAAGAGTGACCAAGATAACGAGAAGGCTGAAAATCAAGACTATGACAAATGGTTGGAAAAGCTAGGTATGTTAGTTTGGAGAAGGGAAGGTTAAAATGAGACATGATAAATATCTGAAAAGCTGTCATATAAAGGCTGAGAAAATTTGTTTCCTGTTGCTTTAGAGGAGAGGATTAGAACCAATGGCTGGAAGTTGAAAGGAAACAGATTTCAATTAAACATCAGCAGAAACATCCTACCTATGAGAACAGTTTGACAATGGAATAGTCTGCCTCAGGGAGTAGTAAGTTTTCTATTGCTGGAGGTATTTAAGCAGAGGCTGTATGGCCAATGCAGTGGCTACATCCTGCAATAGAGAGCATGAAATAAGCAGATGGTTGAATTTGATGATCCCCAAGATCCCTTCCAAATTTATGCTGTTATGATTATGTCCAAACATGAACATACTCTCGTCAGCTTAAGCTGCAGTTCAAACAAGCCAAGAACAAATCATGGTTTATGAACCTGGCTTGTTCATGAAATGCAGTTTAAGCTAATTCCCAATTCCTGAATTCAAAGCCTGAATTATACTATTAGACCTAGCATATTTATGGCTTCTCTGTAATACTGCAGTGACGATCAATGAAATTAGTACATTATGGACATTCTAGGCTGTTCTTGATACCATGTGTTGAGGGATACCATGCTTAGTGATCCCTACCCTACTCAATTTCAGCAAGGATAGCACATTGCACATCCTCAAAAATACTGCCATTACATTGTACATTGGCATTAAAAAGATTCTGAGCCTTAGCTGTGTGTGCCCTGTCAAAAACCTGGATACAAGTCAGTCGGCACAACTGCTATGCTGTTTGTATTCATTTATTTGCTGCATTCTTAAGTTCAGTGATTTTTAGTTCTAAGTATGCAAACATTTAAAAATACTAAATATTAATTCATTATGCTGTATTTCTAATAGATCATTGCATTCTTTTAAATATCAATTTATTCTTTTGTGGTATTTGCTTGAGACCAGCAATGAGATCTATTGTTTCATCTACTTCCTACATGAAGTATCCACAGAGTAGTCCTTAGAAATGAGCTGTCTGTCTCACTAAGCTGGGCATTCGTATTTTGTTCTCCTTTCAAAGGACTGCCTGTTTTTTCTCCATATTCAAGGCAACATGTAGAAAAGACTCCCTTGCATTTATGTGCCTAGTTCACAAAGATTCAGACTTGGTTGCAGCTTTTCAAAACTGAAGCAAAATAATTAAAAAAAAAACACAGGAATCTGAAGTTGATAAAATGATTACTACCCTTAGCTGTGTATATGAACAAAGGATCTTTAAGAGCTGCCACCCTTCATTTAATTCACAGATGTCAATGAAATTAAATATTCTAACTGGTCCTTAACTCGCAAGGCAACAAACGAAGTAGTACCAAAATAATCAACTATCAAATAATACTTTCTCAAATGATACTTTCTCAGTTATAGGCTTGAATTTGCAAGATTCACTGCCTACTATAACAAACACTGCATTTTCTCCTGGCAGAAGTTTTCTACCTGATCAAAGAAAAGGAATGTTTTTTTTTTTTTTCCATTCTGTATTTTGGCGGACTATTTTTTTTTTTTTTTGCAAGAAATTTCTAAAATCAAGGAAATATTGTTGTAAAACAAGTAGCAGGAAGTATTTTATTTCATCATTTGGCAGTATTTAAAAGAAAATACACAAAATGAATTAGAAAAGCTCATTGTGATACCTTGTATTTTGAACATGACATCTGCTAACACAGTTGTGTTAAAGAAAAGCCTGAGAGAGCTGTTACATAACTGCAAAGGTCTTTTTGACAAATATGACCTGCAGTTCCATGAGCTGTTAATCTGCAAAATAAGAAGAGTATATGAATGCCAATGTTTTTCAAAAGTCAACATTTATTACAGCTTTCAAAGTAATAAAATCAAACCTGTCTTTGGCCCATACATTCCTTTGATTTGCTCACATCTGATTAGTATATTTTTATCTCTACTTACCATAAATCTTGATTGTACAATGGCTTTTCTCTAAAGGTGTGGCCTGTCATTTGTACTAAGTAATACTGAACAGTAGGGCATCCTTGGATATGATTGTAAGTGTGAATGAAACATTTCCTTTTCAGTACAGAAGCCAGTCAAAGATATGCTGATGCCTGAGGTGGAAATTTCATATCCCTTTCCATTATATTAAGACAGGATGTGATCCAGAGAAGTCTTTTCATGCGCACACAGAAGCTCACCAAGACTGATGCAGGGGAACAGACTCTCAAAATCTTGTAGAGCCCCCCAGTGTAAGTTTGGGTCTATCCATCAGGACATTCTCCTGCACAAGTCTTCTTGAAAAGTATGGAGCTCCCCCTGCTTCACAACCAGGCTGCTTCTACTCTAATATTCATAAAGTAGAATAAATACCTGTTTCTCCTTGAATACCACCAGTTTTTAACTCTTTCCATGCAAAACTCAAACTTCCCATGTCAACTTTTTAGACTCTATATTAATAGAGGACCCTTGTTAAGAAAGAATGTTAAAGAATATTTTTAATCTAAATAAAATTTCTTCTTGAGGAAGCCAAACATTTTCATCCAGATCTTTTAACATCCTATTCTAATAAGTGAATGATACAATTAAATAATGTAGCTTACCTTTCCCGGAATTTTCAAGATACATTTTACTCTTTCAAGAACAAGCTCAACATTTGCAGAATTTTTCAACTTCTTTTTTATATGTTCTTCCAATGATTCCCACTGAAAAGCACCTATGGGAGAGAAGCAAACAGTACTTCTGGAATGTTGCTCTTTCCAGATTATCAGTTTTTAGAGTAATAAAAAAGGTTATCACAAGCATTTTTGCTAGAGGTTTTACATCTGTTGCTGGGATACTGCTTTTTTGCTACCCTGACTATATTACATTTTGTATCTGGGAAAAGGCAAGTTGCATCCACCCACACATATCAATAGCAAACCACTGTTATTTTGATTGAGGTAATTAAAATGGCTCTGTAGGTGCTAATAGTAACAGAATGCACCCAAGATGTGAATGACTACAAGCAACACAGCTATTTTTCCCACTCATATTTGTACCATTTTACTTTTCTTTTTAAAAGTATGTTGCCCAAAGAAAGCAGGAAAAGACAAAGGCCTAATCTCCAGAGACTCAAGAAAGAGATAACTTTATATTATGAGCCTATGAATTATGGCTAGCATTGTGCCCCAACAGCAAGTTTCCATTCTGGGCTTGAATTTGGAGTTTGTTTGTTAAACTGGCTTTGCAAAGGTTCAGAACTCCCAACTCACATAGCAACATTTCTATATCAGACTGCTTGGGTCCAAAATCTTGGATATATACTTTATATATAACAAACATTTAGGTCTAGAGAATATGGTCATCCTCATTCTGTTCAGTGAACCCAACAAGCAAATGAATAGAACTGTCCTCAAATGCATAGAGTAGAAGAACTCCATGTGAGCACAGGAACACCACATTTTAAAGTTTTAGATCTCCACTTTAGGGTACAATAAACCAGGGACTATTATTGTGCCTCCCCCCACCCCATTTTTTCTCAAAGAGGCTGCCTGGAGTAGCTTGGTGGAATGCTGTGTAGCATTTAGTCCAATTTCTTCCATAAAGCTACCTGTGACAATTAAGCCATCTTCAAATTTGATCCATGCCACCTTTCTAACAGTATTTCAGTGAAATTTTTGTCTATTTATTTTAAAATCACATATAGAAAACTACAATTCAGTAAAACATCACAAAACGTGTAAACAAGAAGAAAACTATGAAGTAAACTGGTGCCCAATCAATTTGAACCATGCCAATACAACATCTGGTGGCATTTACATAGTTTCCAGCAATTCTCAATAAAACCCTTTAGGCTAAATGCTAGTTAAAGTTCAGTCAGCTCAGTATGATCTGGGATAAGCGCAGGGACAATCAAAGCCCAACATGCATTTGGGGTCCTATTCTCTTACATAAAAGGAAGCACTCTACACATTCACATGGATGTTCTATTGTGAGTGCTCAGAATGTTCTTGCACATAGAAAAGAAGGTGGATGATCATGTGTATAAAGAGCTAAAGATGCACAGCAGTGATCATATCATCAAGTGATCACTACAAAACTACAGCCTATTTTGACTGATCTGCCAAACCTGAATGACTTAAGACTGAAGGTAGAGGCTCATACAACGTTTCTCCATATATAAAACTCCTCTGGAAAAAAAAATAAAGAGAGAAAACATTTCTATGTAGGTTTCTTCCTGACATACTAGCTCTCTATGTGCAGGGATTTTTTTTTGTCTGGAAAAACTTTCAATTGCATGAGCCTCCACCTGAAGCAGTACAGACCAGATAAAGGCTTGCTACCTCAGTAAGAACTAGACCCCTATGAGTGAGCTAATATGCAGTTCTCATTGTGCTAGGTTTGATAAAATCAGCTGGAACCATTCTGACAGGATACCTGAATACATGAAGTGCAGAATGTCTGAGAAACAAGTACAGAAGGAAGAGTCTTTAACAATAACTCTTACTGGTGAATTGCAAGATGAGCCATGATTTAAAATAGGAAACACAGCTTCCTGGTTTGCTGCAAAAAGGGTCTGAGCAGTCCTAATGATAGAGGAATCCTGAATGTCAGCTGGGCTCTTCACATTGAAGAGTAACATGAAGACATGACTGATAGAGCACAAAACAATCCTGTGAGCTTCTGCTACCTCCTTCAAGTCTTCAGAATAAAATATCACATCCACACACTGGCAGCAGAACAACAGGTTATGTAAATCAGAGTCGTAATGAGAAGCTTCACCTTTTAAGATTGGCATTTTTTCTAAAAAAAATAAAATTGGAAAAACAATTATGAATAAGCTGTCTGTAACTCCAAACTTAGATTAAGCAAAATGCAAACAAACACATTTTTATTTTCAGAGACTGGATTAAATGATAGAACAGCTTCTTGCTGGATGCCCTAAATACATTTTCAACCACTAAAGCAAGCCCATTTTTTTTCAACATTCCTTATTTAATGTTTTACTATTTTATGCACCTAATGTTACTGCATTTAATCATTTGAGAAGTACTTGAACTACAGCTTATTTTCTCTTTATAGAAAAGGAAATGTGAGGATAAAAGCCTGCTCATCCAGGACTGCTGATATGGTCCAGTGAAGTCCAAGCCAGATGTGATACTAAATACCACCATCTACAGCTCATAGCAATGAGGAATAGCAGAACATTCTGATATCAAGACATGGGTAGAAGGGCTGAGGTACTAGACACATGGATGCCATTTCTGATGGCAGCCATGCTTTTGATGCAATCAAAATTAGATAAAATTCAGTTGACTCCTCACTACAGGCATATGTTCTTTCTCACCCTAGTGACCACATTTTCTTTCAAAAGACTTGGTTGTGGGAAACTACTTAGTACTGCCAGTACTCTAAAGGCAAAGGGAAAGGCGCTATCCAACTTGCAAGCTGGATTTTTTTTGTTTTGATTTTTCAAGGGAAGGAAGCCACCAGCAACACCTCACTGAAAAAAAACTGACCTAGTTTGAAAACCTACGAAGAGAGAGGGAAAATCTCATCCCCTTACTCCTCCATAAAGAGAACTGATGGGAAGGGGATGTTATAGCAGGAAAACATGACTGGCCCCTTTTTCAGGAAACCAATTTGTGGTGGGATAAAAGCAAATCTATATTCTTGTCAATGCTCTTCATGTAGAGAAAAAAAGTGGTAGCTTCTTTCCCTTCCCCTGGAGCTTTTGCAAGAGGCAGCAGCAGGAAGGGTCAACTTGCCTTTTTTCCAAAGGGCAGCACAAAAACAAACACCAGGCCTTTTCCTGAGGTTTCTTCACTTGTAACGGAACTCAAGAAATGGATGGGTCAGTGGCAAGACAAGGAATAATTTTACTAAACAAAGCCAAAACTGTATGATTCAGCATAATGTTGAATCGGCTAAGAGTAATAAGGGCTGGAGAGCAGGGGCTGCATACAATTCCAGTCAGAGAGTTGAGAGCAGACAAAAGACACTGACTATATTTTGAATATCCTCTCCCCTCATCTCACAAACTGTTAATTAGAACTACTCATTGAGGATCCTCTAAATGAAACAGTTCCATCATCTCAGAGAACAGTGCCGGTGAAATTTTTTAGGTCAGAGGACCAAACTGCCTCCAAGCAGCACCGTAAGTAAAAAGTGGATGAGTCTACCCTACTGGCATGTGGCCCCCATTGTGACTGACCAAACTCTATTCACACACTTATATGCGCACACCATTTTGAGGGGAGCTCACAGAGTTGGGCTCAGGAGAGCTACAGTTTTTTGTCTGACATGGAGAGGCTGTGGGGCCTTGGAGAGAAGGTGACAGGTTGGGGAAGTCCTGCAGCTTATATGAAGCCTGCAGGCCAGTTTCCTTATAATTGTGAAAAGCAAAGGTGTGGTAATACAGGAACAGGCAAATTCTGGGCAATTAGGACTCAATGCCCTCTTGGGCCCACTGTTGAAATTGCCTCCCTCTTCTGTGGAAATTGCTGTAGCAGTTGCACCTGAAAACAGTGATTTTACAAGAAAACAAGGTATACTGGGGGCATATACCTTGCTTGCAAGCAGAACTGCATTCCTACGAGGAATCTAGTAGTTATTCCCCTTGACTTGTTTGTTTCCTTGCAAAACTGCCTTGGTTTTGGCCATCATGGTAGCAAATTTGACAGCAGAAGCAAAAATAACCATGGGGGCTATATGTGGTTTGTTGCTGCCAAACCCTGCTGTAGTGTAACTCCAACATTACATTATACAACTATTTTGTAGAAAGAATGTTGTATCTTCAAGAATGTGTACCTTCAAATTTGTGATTGGCCACCATAAATATATGTTCTTAGAAACAACCATTTTGCAACTACCAGGGAGTAATGCAGGAACTGAAGCCAAAATTAACTGTAAAGGTTTCCCCAGGACATTAAAGTCCAGTCATGTCTCACTTCTGGGGGCAGTGCTCATCTCCATTTCCTAGTCGAGGAAGCCAGTGTTTGTCCACAGACAGTTTCCGTGGTCATGTAGCCAGCATGTCTAAACACTGAAGTGCATGGAAGGCTGTTACCTTCCCACCAAAGTGGTACCTTTTTATCTACCTGCATTTTGTATGCTTTCGAACTGCAAGGTTGGCAGGAGCTGGGACAAATGAATGAGAGCTCACCCCATTGTGCGAATTCAAACTGTTGACCTTTCAATCAACCAGCCCAGCAGCTCAGCAGTTTAAACCACTGCGCCACCCACAGTCCCTAGAATTAACAGTAGACAACCATAAACAAGAATTGCTGAGCACCAAGACTAGAACCAAGATCACTGTAACAGATTGTAAGGGAAAGGGGTAACAACAGCAAAGGAGAGCCGATGACGACAAAAAGGACAAAATATTTGCAGCCGTATGGCCCACCACATTCCCTCTCATGACTAATTTAATGCTGGTTAGCAAGGTTTGGCAGGGTAGATCCAAGGTGTGGTTAATGCCTCACTGTGTGGAGTAGTGATGACCGTTGCTTTGAAGGATGTGCTAGTGAGACCTAACACACCCACCATGGACTAAACTATTCTTAGGCATGGTGACTGAGGGTTGTGGTAGAGCGACAGCAGAATGAAACCTATTATCTAGACTTTTTCCAATTTGGGTTCAGGCCTCGTTTTGTGAGCAAATCACTTTGGCTGCCCTACTTTACCAGAAAAGGCAAAGAACAAGTATAACCTTAGTTATTTCATTTTTATACTGCTCAATAGCCAAGGGTTCTCTTGCATGTCTTAAGTTATCTCTCTATAACTTCTGATACCTTCAACATAGTATCCTTTTAGAACAGCTTTGTGTGAAGGGTATTTGGCTTTCTGTACTTCAGTAATTCAGTAAATCAGAGCAGAATTCAAACTAAAACATAAATCAGAGTAGAATACATTATACCTGGCTGATCAAGTTGAGGTGGCTTAACCTCATGGCACTTATGGCTTTTTTTCCTTTTCTTCATTTTTTCAGATGACTTCTGATTTAAGCTTTGTATCATAAAATATTCCAGCTAAAATAAAACATATATTACAAAACAGCATAAACAAACAGTTTAAGAGGATATAGCTGATCCACTGATTGCCATTCTATGTACGGAAAGCTGTTACTATTGCTGCTAATGTGAGCACTCCTTCATGAAGACTGAACTCTATCATTATTTAAGCAGGGGCTACACTTCTGATAACCAGTGGGATGTGGTGGCTAGAGTGTTGAACTGGGGACCCAAGAGACCCCACTTAGCCAATGAAGCTCACTTTGAGGCAGTCACCGACTCTCAGCCTAATCTATGTCATGGAGTTGTTGTTCACAGAGGAGAAAATGGAGAGGAATCTTGTAAGCCACCTTGGGTTCCTTGCAAGAGGAAGAAAGGTAGGATATGGATGTAATGTCTTAATAATGCTAACAGTAAACATGCACTGGATTGTGTCTTCGAACAGTTAAGTAGAGACTGGGAGGGACAGAGCTTACAACATCAAACATAGAGGAACAAGATCTGCCTAGTCCATGACTGCTGCACTCACCAAATGAATTGGGCCCCTGCTCTCCGCTCCCTGAGATCTTCCAAGGCAACTGCCCTATGAGAGCAGCAAAGCTACTCGCTCTGGGAGTGGTGGTGTCATCTGGGTCAGTGTTTTTCAACCACCAGTCTGTGGACTGGCAGTGGCCTGCAGATTTCCTGGGAGTCTGTGGGGGGGGGGGGGCGTGCATCCCACTCACCAAAGACTGGTGCAGGGGCTGACTGTGCTCCACCACCTTTTCTTATTGGTATTGCATTTGCAGGGGGTGTGCTGGTACTACTACTGGTACCACTCCCCAGGGAGGGGAGAGACAGCTCCATGGGAACTGGCTCGGGGCCACAGTGCATAGATTTTGGTATTTTATTCTTTTGTTGGCATTTTTTGTTGCTCGATTTCTGGTTGTTTTGGAGAATTTTCATTTTCTTTTTGGTATTGTGTTTGGAAACTAATACACAACTGTATTAGTTTCACTACTGCATTGTATGTATGGTGCTTCTTGTTGCTGCCTCGGTGGTTTTCCTGTTTTCACCAGTTCCCAGCTGTGGAAAGGTTGAAAACCACTGACTCAAGGCCACCTTGAATCTTACCTAGTATTGTGGGAGTGACACACCTCTGACAGATTCCATCAAGGCCCCAAAAGACAGAGGACCCATCCAGTAAGTCCAACAATTTCAGCTGTATTACAGCCAACCTTCACAAATGCCTGCCAATATTTGTTGTGAATTGTCAGCAGTCCATGTCCATCCCATATTGTCCTTCTAAGACATCTATAACATTAAGAATTGCTACCTAAATATGTCTGTTTCCTTTTCCCTCTCTATCCCTTCTTCCTTTTGTATTGTGTCTTGTAGATTGTAAGCCTGATGGCAGGGATTGTCTTGTTGTACTGATGTGTACGCTGCTCTGAGAGCCACTCTGGCAGAATAAATGCCTATTATAGGATTAAAAAGTTCTTAAATTAATGAAGTAAAGGAATAAGCAGGGTCCATTTATTATTACTCCTACTATATGTAAGGTTATATAGGCACTGTACAAAAATGTCAAGACAATACAGTCCCTGCCCACAGGCTTACAATCTAATATGATGAAATACAAAAAGAAAAAGGAATGATGAGGCTACAATTCAGGCACAAATTTTTAAACAAATCATGTAAATGTTTAATGACCTGGTAGAATGGCATCCAAGGAATATAGTTCTGGGTTGGGAAAAACCAAAAGGCAGTTTGCCCCAGCTGAGTCCATGAAATGGCCCATGCACTCTCACCTTTCCCTCTGCTGCACCTATATGGAAAGGCTGCTAACAGACAACACTTACAGGAAAGGAGAAACCAAATGGCACTTGATGCTATATGAGCTTCTAATGGAGTAGATAGTGCTGTCTCTAATTTCCATTTGCAGCAGCTGGGCAGAATGGCAATTTGTACAGGATCTATAACTTTTTGGTCTTATGCCACATCTTTCAACTCTATCATCCTCATCTAAAAAAATCCATGCAGCAGACAGCTAAGTGATGATCAAGACTCAAATGTAAGTTTAAAACCAAGGCATTCATGGATTAAGTCCAAAGACAGTCAAGAACAATTACCTCATAAGATTTTGAAAGAAAAAAAAGAACAGAGCATAAACTTAGGCACATAAGAAAAGGAAACCTAAAACGAACATAGTAACTTAATCTGATTAGTTAAGATGGGAGATACTAAACAGGACTAGATTCTATTATTCTAATCATTCCATGGAAAAATTATAACTAGATTATAACTTTTAAACCTGCATGGAGATTTTACTTCTAGGTAAGAGTACAAAGTCAGCTCTCTAGTCTTATGTTACTTTAATGCAGGGAGAAAGCAGCAGAAAACTTTTTAAAGTATAAAGGTGGCTAGACTACACCTTTTATAGACAGTAACAGCGTATTTTTGTCTCTCCTAAGTAAACTCTTAGAACATGTGCTACTAACAAACAGTTAAGCAAGCTCCACATACTTGCCTCAAACAAGCAACTGAGACATCATGCATACTGTTAGGACTAGTGCATCAATGCTAATGCATAAAGGAACAGCTGTTGTTGATAGTCAACAGCAGTAGTAAAAAGAATGATAAACGTTTCAGTGAGCTAGCTGCTTTTTATCTCTTTCTGAACTGATATTAGTTAAAAGTATATAAGTCTATATTGGACATAAACTGAAAACAGCACCCTACCCATTGTGCTGAATTACTGCATTAAGAATGTAAGAATGTTATTTAAAGTTTCAGACTTACCTGTGTTTGTAAATGGTCAGAAGATGAATTTCAAAATTGCATTCAGCTTGTAAGATAGCATTCTTTTTAATTTAAATAAACTTAGATATTTTAACTTTCCATGAAGGGCAGTTAAGTATAGAGATGCTTAATTTTCCCACTAAAATCTGTGGTATACCCAGCCCAGTCACAGGATCACAGAATATTAGAACTGGAAGAGGCCTATAAGGCAGGATTCCAAGTTAAAGCATCCCTGACAGATAGCTGTCCAACTGCCTCTCAAATGCCTCCAGTTGTGGAAGAGTCCACAGCCACCCCAGGTAATTGATTCATTGCCATACTGCTCTAACAGGAAGTCTTTCCTGCCGTTGAGTCTGAACCTGGCCTTCCTGCAACTTAAGCCCATTATTCCATGTCCTGCATTCTGGGATGACTGAGAAGAGATCCTGGCCCTCCTGTGTCAGCTGTTCAAGTATTTGAAAAGTACTTGATATCGCTCCTGTCTTCTCTTTCCCCAGGTTAAACGTGCCCAGTTCTTTCAATCTTTCCTCACAGGGCTTTGCTTCCAGTGCCCTGATCATCTTTGTTGCCCTCCTCTGCACTTTTTCAGTTTGTCCACATGTTTTTTGAAGTGCTGTGCCCAGAAATGCCTTATCATGTACATTGTAGAATATACCAGAAATCAGTACAAGCAAGAAACACTACATGCAAAGTGCCTGAGAAACAATTTTTTAAGACAGCTCATACAGATATTAATATAACCATATATCTATTTTACTTCTTCAGTGCTGTATGATGTATTATAGTTCTTAAGTAGCTTCTTCAGTGCTACTCCTTATTCCTGATTCTTATTTTTAATGTAAGAAATATTATGCCTATATAGGTGCATTTTAAAGTACTTGATTCAACAACTAAGATACCTACTGACTGCAAACTGATTAACTGCAGAAATCTTAAAACAAGCTCACTTCCAGAGCACAAGTAAGAATATCAAATCCATTAATGACACAAAATATAATTTCTCAGAAATAATTTGGAATTTACTCTGACTGTGATTCATTTGAAAATATCCATGACAAAGTATTCCAAAGACTTTCTTTGTGCGTGTGACCAGGAAGAGGGCAGCATTTACAGTATCTGATTTTGTTACAGTCATGGAATTAATAAACTCCATTAGATACTTTGCTGGAAGTCCATTTATGTTGAAGTGACATTTGAAGTGGGTTGGAAAATACAAATTGTTATATTCTTATTTACCACTTTGACAGAACTTTTGAACCAAATTTGTATGAACTATAGAACATTATTGAACTGTAATGCTGAGGCACATCTAGACTAATGCTCTTGTTGTACTTCTTTTCATTTTAGCTTTATCCTTCATACTGAATATTATTATTCCATTTATTTATTCATCAATTATTGAATATTTCCCAACTATTTATGCCTTTGCCATCCAAAACATTGGGCTCCAAAACAATGAAGAAGTGAGAAATCGGTTGGGCAAGACAGGGCAAGTCCTTCATGAGTGGAAACATCACTACCTCCTTGAATGGATTTCTTTAGTAGATTAAGCAAAGGAGTCAATTGTGCTATTTTTTCCTTGCAGAATATATCCTTACAACAGCACTATGGGGCAGCATATACTTGGAAAATACAATTTTCATCTGTCATTCAGTGAGTTTCAAGTCAGATTAGGGCCATTTATGTCCATCAGTCACCCACTAAATCAATGTCTGAAAAAATTTTAAACCTTAACATTTGACCAACCTACTAACTTAATGTATTTTTATACTTACCACACCTCCAAAATATTTTCCTATGTAGAAATCATTTAGGCTGTGTAATTCCAAGTAAGTAGCTCCCAGTTCTTTAGCAAGTTGAATCCCTTCAGAAGCTGTAACACAACTCCCTCTGTCTGAGATACACAAAGGACAAGTGCAGGGAACTTCTGAGAAGACAATTAGTAATACAGTATTTTAATTACTTTGGCTTATATTCAGTGTCCTTTGCATTTTCCTAAATAATCAACAATGCATCAAGCAATCATATACAGTACAATCTTATACACATCTACTCAAAAATAAACCCTATAGTTTTCAATGGGGCTTACTCTCAAGTAAAAGTGTATAGGCTTGCAGCTAAGACCATAAAGAACACAAGAATTTTGTAGTTGCCCCATCACAGATTAACTTGGACAAGAGTTCTGCTATCACTTTAATTTGATGTTCTTCTTTATTGTAGGAAATTTTTGGACTCCAATGTTATCGGGGATTTAGCTGATGAACAGCAGCTGTTATTACAAAGTTACAGTTTTCTGGTGGCAAACTATTTAAATTGGAAGACAGTACACACTGAGACTTTTTCAGAGCTATGGGAAAACAAGTTTTGATGGGAGAAAGAGATCTTGGCATTCTTTTTGGATTGTTCCTTGTTTTGACTAGTTGTCCTTTCTCATTAGCAGTTTTTAAATGTATTTTAGAATTCAGTAATGTAACTTCATAAACAATTATGAAGAAAATAGAATAGGTATTGTTTTAACAACGAATCACTTGTTAAAATACAATGTAAGACATAAATCCAGAAAATATCTGCTTTCACAAAAGGGCTTTTCTGGTTCCTTGCTCCCAGAGTCCTTGCACTATCCCAAAGGTTGTGGCACCCTATTTGTGGAATCTGTTCCCCAAAGAAATATGCCTGGTGCCTACTCTTTACATCTTTCAGTTCCAGGCAAACGTTTTTGTTATTTCAGTATTTAAAGAACAAAATTCCTAATTGTTACATTATGATTTTTTAAGTAAATTATTATACCTGTTTTTATACATTTTTCTGGGTTGCTGTGGTTTGTTTATTTAACTATTTATTTAGTTGTTTACACTCATTTTATTTTTCGTTATTATTTTATTCCTTATTTTTGTTAGTTGGCTCAAGTGCTGAAATGTATTGCTATTGAAAAGTACTGCTATTGTATTGTTATTTCATTATTATATTTTTTAACTTTGTAAGCTGTTCAGAGAAACAATTTGGCTTTGGAGGGTATTATATAAAAGCTTGTGTAAAACAAACAAACAAACAAACAAACAAACAAACTCATCCCTGATGGTCAACAGACCTTCTGAAATGACTTGGGACTGGATCCAGGGGGCCACAGCAGGATGTAGAAATTGGAGAAATTCTATGATTTTATGCATATTAACAGAAGAAAAATATGTTGGTTGTTACAGATACCCTGTTTTTATTAATCTTTTATTAACTTAGTCTTGGATCCAGAAATGTCCTCTACAAGTAGAAAAACATTCCTAAGTTCAGTTTCTATAACACTATAGTTGTAATTAATGCATTTAACTATAATTAAGTCATTGTGTACACCACAATATTTCTCCCAAGCTGAAACCAAATGTCTTACCTTTTTCTCTTAACTTTTCAATTTATCAAAAGTATTTTTAAATGAGTATAAATGTCAATTATAGTGAATAGGCCATTATGAATCAAAAGACAAACACTGAGAAAAAATTGCATCACTTTGAAATGACCTTTTCAGACTACAGTTTTCTCTTACATTATGGTCAGCATGACATTACAGAAGCATTCAGGACACCTTGGAAAGCAATGTCAGAAGGGTCCTATGCACAAAGTAAACAAGGATCTACAGACATTATATATATTTTTTATCATATAAGAAAGGTATTTTTATAGAAAACAAATTAGTACTGTTATGTCTAAAATGTAAGAGCATTGTTACTAATATACAATCAATGATATGGTAGGGGTGGCCAAACTGAGGCTTGTAAGCCGCATGCAGCTCCTTGAATTTATTTTGTAGTTCACAGAGGGGCTAAAAAGCCCAACAGTCCAAAGCTAATTGGAGATGTGGCCATGGAGTCAGCGCTGTAGCAGCCCCACAAATGGCTTAGTGGTTTTCAAATACCAACTGTGGGGTATGCAAGCCAGGGTGGGCTTGGGCATGAGCACATTGAGACCGTGGCGAGAGAGAGGAAATAAGGACAGAGATGAATGCCAACGTGGATTTTGAGGGAGTTGAACATTGCCACAGAACCCCTTTGGAGGAAATTGGGGCCAAGTTGGCCAGCAAACAGGGCAAGTCAGTGCCAGTGCAGGTGGCACACAATCTGAATTTGTGGATGAGAAGGAACTGTGAATGCTGACACAGATAATTACTGTACATGTGCATGGCTGTGGACTAGTGGAGGAAGCCTTTCCCCCCTCAGCCTTATTGGGTGCTGGAAAAGCCCAATGCTTTTTTATAATAAAAAATAAATATTTGTTCATTATCTTGCAGCGCTCAAAAATCTGACATTTACCACATGTGACTCTCCCTTTGAGCAAGTCTGGCCACCCCAATATATGGCTATTCATGGAATTTGATAGGCAAACTTAGGGGCTGCCTGCTGTCTTTAACATCTAATAAGCTTTAGACTACTGCAGATAATCACAAGCCTTAAAATAGGTAAAATATTATCAAAACAGTTCACTTGCATTATTATAATCTTAAAGTGGTAGAAATTATAGTTAGAGCTGATAATATGCATTAAAATGGAACAGTCTGCTTCTCTTGACCAAATCATTGAAAAAAAGTATTTTTACTCTTTAACAGGTTGTCTTTTTATACACAACTTGAAAGATGCAGAAAAAATAGAAAGAGTTCAGAGTTGGGCAACAAAGATGATCCAGAGTCTGGAAACTAAGCCCTACAATGAGAGGCTGAGAGAGCTGGCATGTTTAGTCTTGAGAAGGGAAGACTTCAAGGGGATATGATAGCACTCTAGAAGTACCTCAAAGGCTGTCACAAAGAGGAAGAAAAAGACCTCTTCTCATTCATCCCTAAGTGTAGGACACCGAACAACAAACTTAAATTCCAGCATACCAGATTCTATTATTCTGTGAATCTATGAGTTCTCTCTGCTTTGTCAGAACAACTAAGTGTGCCGTAGGAAATATACAATTTTTAAAAATACATTTTTCTGTGAACCTGAATATCTCCCAGAGAAGAGACTGCCAAGTGACTTTGCAGAAAAAGTGCTCTAGCCTTGCTTCCTAGTAAACTTCATCGCAATTGGATAAATTTTTCTACAGATATGACTGCTCAATACATTAACACATCAGAATTAACTCTCCTAAGAAGACCAAAACTCTAACTAACACAACACAGGGGATGAGCTAGTTTGAGTAGTTCTTAGTTTTATATACTCTAAGGAAGGCTGAGCGTTGAAGAATTGAGGCCTTTGAATTGTGGTGCTGGAGAAGACTCTTGCGAGTCCCTTGGACTGCAAGGCGATCAAACCAGTCAGTCTTAGAGGAGATCAACCCTGACTGCTCTTTAGAAGGCCAGATACTGAAGATGATACTCGAATACTTTGGCCACCTAATGAGAAGGAAGGACTTTCTGGACAAGAGCCTAATGCTAGGAACAACTGACCGCAAAAGAAGGGGACGGCAGAGAATGAGGTGGCCAGATGGAGTCACTGAAGCAGTCAGCGTGAGCTTGTGGACTCCGGGGAACGGTGGAGGATAGGAAGGCCTGGAGGAATGTTGTTCATGAGGTCGCAATGGGTCGGACACGACTTTGCGACTAGCAACAACAACAAAACTAGGGACAAAAAACATGTAATCATCCAGACATTATGGCCTACAATTCCCATGATTCCTTACCACTGGCTATATGGGCTACAGCTGATAGGAGTTACAGATCAAAACAGCTGAAGGCTGTAACATGCCTACCCATGCTCTAAATTAGGAGTGCTACCAGAAGCTTGGGAAACAATGGCACAGCAGAAGTTATGGCATTGTCCTCTGTTTATACACAGCTTAAGGCAAGTGATATTGACAACACACACAATAGAGTTACTGTTACCAAACATGAAAAAGCATTGCTTTACCAGCTAAGAAAGCAAATTTTCAGGGAATGGTATTGTTTCATCAGTCAGAGAAGATTTTCTCACCTAACAAGCAGCCAATTCAGCAGAATAGCTTAGAGACAATGATTTGCCCAGGGCTGCACCGTGAGATTCACAGCTGAAAGCCTGTGTATTCATGTACAAGCCCAACACAATCTGCTTTACAGACAAGCAATTCAGGGTACAATCCTATATAAGTTTAAAATGAAAAAAGTCCTATATCTCCTAGGGTTCCCCAGAAAGCATGATTGGCTAAGGTATACTGGGATTTAGATTTTCTGTCTAAGCATGCATAGCATTCATGCTGATTCTCTTTAAACTCTTTTTTATAACAGCTCTGACATGGCTGGCATATTTAAATGACCCAACCATGCAAGCAGGAGTTGATCCCATGGTTTCCAAGAAGGGAACTGACAGAAAGGCAATTCCATGGTAAGATACCTGTGATCATTCTCAGTCCATGTGTTTAGGTCATTTTAACATTATCCTAACTATTTAAGAATCCACTTAGAGTAAATCAGTTCCCATATAACGAGTGTAATATTTGAAGGGCACTCAGTTTGTGCTTATATCCAAAAAGGCAACATAGTTAGTAGATGTTCTTATGAAATGAGCACAGGCAATGCAGTTTGCATGGCTTCAATTTCTAAGTGCAAAGGTGATGCATCCTGTCCTTTCCAAAGCCCCTTTGAGTTTTTTGTATTGTACTATGACATACAGATGTGTCCTAAGAGAACAGTGTTATGAAGTTACTTTTACACAGAAAATTGCTACTGTAAAAATAGCAAGCAAAAATATTTGGTAATATTAGCAATTTCAACTATTTTTTCCACTTGCCCCTGCCAAATTATAATCTTACATCATTATCAATTATAATATACAATCTTATTTGACTGTACCGAGATTACTCTTGAAGCAGGTTTACTTTTCTTCACTGTTTGAATTGAGCCAGAATAACATTACCATTGCTTCATTTTCCCTATCCTATCCTATCCATCTATTTTCTCTATCACAACACCTAGCAAAAAGATATAGATTTCAGATATAATTGAAATTACCTCCAAAGACATCATATCATATATCCAATATGTTTTTTGATAAACGGTAAGGAATACATCCATTTCCTGCATCTTTCTCCACATGACATATGATCCAACAGCACTTTAAAGACTATTGCAAACTTAGATACAATTATTAGAAAGTCCCACTGAACTGAATTTACTTCCAAGTATACATAAGGATTGCTGCTAGCACAATACTGCTTAAAGAATAGAACTTCCCCATCTTCTGCTCACTACTGCATACACCCCAAAACTGCTCTGGAGTGTTGGAGGACTTTCTGGAGCTGTTCAGGAAGGTGTGGAAGGGCTGCAAGGGGAAGACAGGGACATTCCATTGTATTTGCAGTATCTATCCCACTAGAAGACTAATATTGGATCTAGCTGAAAACTTACAATTTTAAAACCAACTAAATCAGCTAAGTTGCATTTCCTGGCTTAGCCCAGTTACAAAGCAAATATATGAGATTGCTAAAGGTGATCCAGAAAAGGTATTTTAACTTCTTTAGATCTCACAAACACTACAAATATTTTCTGACGGAACATTAAGTGATCCTTTCAATCATCACTGTAGCAGTACCAAATTTCATAATTGGACTAAATGAATTTTTCCCAATATGATTTATCTGACATAAAAGTTTGTATCTGTATTTCAGCTATTTATAACAAGAGCTGCAGCACATACCGTTTTGTCTTACACCAACAGCAGAAATTATGACTGGAACTGAACACTTGGTTAATGCTTTTTTTATCAGTGGTGCATAAATGTCCTTCACTTCTTGAAATGAAGACTTGTCATTCACAGAGTATTTAATCACAATGATATCTGCTTCTCCAATAAGGTTCCGAGAAGTATACCAATCACTTTCAAAAATATCCTATACAAAACAAAAAGATGGAGCTAAATTCCATTTACAATGAACCAAGAATAATCTGGAGAATTCCTTCAAACAATAACAGTAGAGTACAAGGGATTTTTTTTCTTTTATGATGAAAAGTTGCTAAAAGTAAGAAAAGAGTTTTGATGAACTTCTATTTTTGTTTGCTTTAAAGAAAAACTATTTGTGTAGAGAAGCCCAGAATTAATTAACATGCAAAATGTCTTCTAAGCTTCATCATTTATCCTTGTACCAACTGTCAACAGTATTCCCAAATTGCAAACAGGGAACCAAGGACACAATACAGTACGGTGCAGAGTGCTAACTGGTGAGTCAACATATGCACAGCAACATGAATCCAGGTCTCCCACTCCAAGCCTAATGCTCCCTCTAGTTTTGAATACCCATTGTCATTGCAATTATTGAGGCATTACTTAGAAGAAAGCTACATGCAGCGAAACTTTAATTGTAGCAACATCTGCTCGTGGGTAGAGTACTAACATATTTTAAAAATATGGACAATTCATTATTCAAAATCTGCCCTTTCTAGCAATTGGTGTAAAGGTATTATCGAAAGTCATATGCTTTGTAGACAGCTTCACCTAAACATTCCTTGGTATCATCCCACTGCATGAACCACTGTTATTTAAATATCTCCATAATTTTGGGAAATCAGTAAATATTAGGAACAAGAATAAACTGTACTTATGATATTTTATATCTAGTAAAATGAAATATTGTAAATATATAGCCCAACTTGTTTTTATCAATGCACCAGTAAAGACCTATTAACATTTGTAAAAGAGCATTTAAAGATTTTTTCTCTGAATCAAGGCTAATTTTTATTTGTTCCAATACTTTCCTAAATATTAGAATCTACATTCCAGTATTTCTTTTGACTGACACTCTGTTCTTCATTCCTTTATTTCAATGTTTGTAAGATTATGAACTATCAGAATTTTTAGTGATCCTTACAAAGAGGCAACTGAGATTCTACAACTATTTTGAGAAAGCTCAGTACTACAGAAATAAAAGACCAACCCAATGCCCTTGCTTTTTATGCAACAAACAGCTATTACCAGCTAATGAAAGGGTTTCATAGTCTGTTATGAATTGATCTTCTGTTTTATTCATATTTTTGGTTTATAAAATCTCAATCTGCAGGAATACGAAATAACAAAATGATTTGTTAACAGCGTTATGCATCCCAACATTCTGTACAATTTTGAAACACAAAGTGTGAGATACATTCCAAATGTACAGAGGTATGGAATATAAGGCAGGAAAAATAAGTTCCAAGTATGGAGTTATAACATGGAAACTGAGGAAGCAGAACATGGACAATGAGTAAAATAGAATTCAAACAACAAAATGAAAATTGTTTGGTGGGTATAATGAAAAAAATCAGCCCATGAATATCTATTTGTACGATCTTCAATGAGAGAGGAAAGGCTCAAACAAGGAGCAACAATAATGAAATTCCCAACCTTCTGTGAGCACAAAACACATTGCCCAGCTCATGACAGTTAAGTCTTCTGGACATCATTCCTATGATTTCAGAGGTGAGTATGAATACTTCTTATAGCCAAAACAGCGCTATCATGCACAACAGGGAGATTATCAGCAGGTTTGAGAGGACACCAAGATTTGCTGAAGTATACAAATCCTTAGTAAAAACAAACAAACAAAAACAAATGACAACTAAAGGACTTCTGAAAAGTCCAGTGTGGACTCATTATGACAGGAAACCTGGTAGGAGGGGAAATGGGAGGGAATACTCTGGAAGAAGACATGGCTGCCTTGCTAGAACACTGAACAGGGACACCGTTGGTTATACTTGTGCCAGCAGTGTCAAACCAAGAAACAAAACTGGGAATACTTTTAAAAAGAGGTACCTCTTATTTCAAGGTTTTTGCTGCTTCCCTTTCATAACAGAAAATGTATTAGATGACAACTGACTTTTGAGTTTTTATAAAACTTAAAATACATCTACAAATGCATCATGATTCCTGGAGAAAGAACACATCTTAAAGCACTCTTAGTTAAATAAACAATCTATACTTGAGATCTGATGCAAAAAAATCAGGTTTAAGCAAAAATAATAAACAGCTAAAATAGGTTGAAATTAAGAATGGATTGCATAATATTCCAGACAGAAAACACAGGATCAGATGAATCAATTCTGTTTACTAAATTATCTCTGTTTGCATGCAGACATATATATGCATAGTTCTTCCAAGAGCCTTAGGACATGTACTCTTCATTGCACAGCACATTGCAATGCATTTCAATCACCCTTCTGTGTACATGATCATAAAGATTACAAGAGTGTCAAGCAGGTACCTTTAAAAATTATCTATGCAAATTTCATGTGAATCAGTTTAATTTATTCCATATGAGTACAAACTCAGAAAATTTTATTTGTTCCAGATTTCATAGTCCAGAAAAAATAAGAAAAGCTGATCCTGAGCATGTGAACTGAGACAATACTCAACTGTATTACATACATACATTTTTTGTATGTAATCACTTGTTAAATCTGTCTGTTAGATCTCCAGAAGCACCTGGTAATACAGTACAATTCTATTGCTGCATACTGCTCAAAAAGCTTCTGTTACTGGCTGGTACAGAAATGAAATTAGGACCAAATTGTGTTTCTAGCCAATTTTGTGTTTGCACATACCAAGCATATGCTAAGAATCCAGATGACTGTTCTCAACTAGTACACCAATTCCTGGACAATTGTTCTTTTCCTAAATGCAAACTTTAATCCTGAATTACCAAGAATGTGTAATTTGACCTTCTACAACTGCTTGCACTTTAGTAATGTAATGCCATTTTGATCATGGGTGCACTACTGGGTAACACTTGTAGTAGCACTGCAATAAGCAAATCCTCCCTTACTTTGCCTCTGCCGCACTGTATACTTTAAACACTCCATAATGTAATAATCATTTTTCTTGGTTCCCATGTCCTCAGTCCGGACACTGTACATTTCTACTGCCTGCTTCTCTCCCAAAATGGCTGTACCTCAGCATCAAGATATCCCCATCAACTTTCCAATCAGTGTTGCTGGAAATACAATGCCATTGGCACTGAAGAGGTTCTATAGTCCTTCAGCACTTCAGATAACTACCAAAGAGTATTGTCCACAACCATAAGTTTCAGGGGACAGATTCCTGTTAATAGCTAGTATTATGTCTTGAACTATTTAAGAAATCTCCAAGGTAAGCAGCACCTCACCCACCTGTATGATTTTAGTAGTCTATGGATTTCTACAGAATTACAGTCTTCAACTATTTTAGACCCAGAGTTTATCTTTAAATGCATACATCTGCTCTTTTTCTTCCCATTTGCTTCACCTTGTTCCCATTAAAAACACACATAGAAAATTATGATGGTACTGTTGTGTGGTCATACCAAGTGTGGGTCATACCCTATGAATTTATGAAACATCTGTAAGTGATAATGTTGCACAGAAGGAATGAAAATAATCCCATTAAATGAAAATGACTGAAAGGTACAAGCAGAACATTAGCAAATGAGTAATGACACAAGCCTATTCAAGTTTAGACAGAAAAAAAAGTCCTACAACTCCCAGCATTCTCCAGTCAGCATGACTGGCTAAGGAATGTTGGGACTAGTAGGACTTTCGGCTGCTTAAATATGCACAGGATTGTGTCTTAAGTCAATTAAGTCGATCTCACCAAAGAGTTGTAAATCTATTTCCTCATTACTGATCCCACTACTAATTCCAGGAATATTACTAACAGCTATTTTGGTGCATAATCAACCAATTTCAAAAGGAAATAAAATAACATGTAAACTTTTAATAACTTTGTCATCATGCAACTGTGAATCATGTTATATTTTAAAAGCTTAATGGAAAATTAATTCAACTTCAGACAGTGCTCTTATATTGTAAAATCATATTATATTGTATTAGCCTCAACAGAAAGCTAATACAATAATAGAAAAAATATTTCTAGATTCTATTTTCAATCCTCAAGCATGTATTTATCCTCAGAAACACACTATTTCCATACAGGAATGGTTCTGTTTCTTTCAATCTTTTCAATATATTGTAAAAGATTATCTATTTGATGTATTCAGCTGGTACTCTTCCAAAAGATACTTTTTAACTTTTTCTACTGATTCTACATTTTAATAACATTATATTGAATTAGAAGTTGACCAGATTAAAACTACAAGTGTAAGCATACTTACAAGAAGGAAGTCCATGGAATTCATTGAGACTTACCTCTGAGTAAATATGTTTACTGCTAATTTTCTACTACAGTTTCTTACCCAGAGAGGACAGTCATGTATCACCAGTCTGACATTTCCAAACACACAGGCATGATACTCGGTGAATGCAGGATTTCTAAGGTAGTTGGCAGAGTTCAGCAACAAACTGCTATCTGTCTCTGAAACAAGAGCACTTCTCCCAAGATAGGTCCAGATCAGACTCCTCTGCTGATCATCTTCTGAAAAGCCACCTCTTTCATTTCCAAAGGCTACAATGTGAACAGACCTACAAAAAATGATGTTTTTAATCTGTCGGTATTCATTATCTAAGGCAATATTAAGAAAATGTGGGAAGGGAAGATGAGAAAAAACAATCAAAAGAAAACTATTGTCTGACAAAGCATGCTTTTTGTTTTTGCTAAACACAAACCACTTAATAAATAACAAATCACATACATGATCTTAAATCCAAAAGCAGAAAAGCAAGGTGGCTAGAGATCTTGCAAAGGGTAGTTGCATTATACATCCAAAACCTCTTGGGTTTATTCTTCCTCCATTTCCTGAGGCAGTTTCATTCGCCCAGTCATATTTTCAGTGTTTCTGGGGTGGTTCCGCCAATGTCCTATTCAGCAATCCCTTCTCTGCAAGTCAAAATGAGGGTTAGCTCTGTGACAACAGCTTACTGCTACCACTGCTGGCTGAAGGTGAAATCTGCACGTAAACTCAGCAGCTACCCGCTTCAAGCTCAGCCATTGCCTCGTGACGTCAGTAAACCCTACCAACAAAGGGTATTAACATCCTCAAAGGGAAAAGAGATTCGACATTTCTGCAGAGCCAACACAGTACACCCAGGTCAGCAAAGATAAACAGAAAAACAAAGTGAAGCTTAAGTACAGCAGCATCTCTTCAAAGTGAAGGGGACTATGTGGTACACTGCCGTTAGCATGAAAAGATACATAAATACATGAGCTCACAGGCAGCCAATCCACTTTTAGTCATTCCCATATGCGGAAAGGCAGGCAGGCAGGCAAGCAGTCCTAACTAGTAGGACACTCTAAAAAGAATTCCCCGGGGGGGGGGGGGAGAGCGAGCGCACAATCTTTTAAAAATGTTAAAATGAAAGTTTGTTTGCTGAAAGTATTATTTTTGAAAAATAATGAGATACGACTCTTAATTGTTTCTGATCTTGGTGACACCTCCGTAAACCAAACACAACAAAATTACTTTATAAAAATGGAATTTTTCAACAGAAATATGAAAATAATATATTTACTATTAATCTGATATATGCACACAAAACAGAGAGGGCTAAATTGTTGTTGATCCTTAAAAGCAGTATCAATGAAGGGAAAACAATTTTTTTAAACTTATTATTTTAGATTGTGTGAGTACCTGTAATACATTGTTATTTTCTCAACTAAAACATGCCTTCCATTTAAAGACATTAGGGCTGCAGATTCCTAACTTTAAGTCATTTACACAGAATTTGAGTCATGTCCTATATGGTGATGCAATTTATCATGCTTCATAATAATGTAAATATAAAGAAGGAGATAGGAGCCATTATTTTGTTGGAGGTAATAATCTTTGCTGTATGGGGCAAAGCATGATAGCTGTTTAAAAGCAAGGAAACACTGGCTCTGGGAATAAAAGTGTAAGTAATATTCAGAAAACCAAATTTTAAATTGTAAAGCACAGCATTTGAAAGGTTGGATGTTGTATTAAAGTTTGTTTTACATCTTTTTGTGGGCTACTAGCCCTAAGGTATTAGCAAATCAGAGGCACTGGAATCCAGGAGATGTCATTTTGTTCTCGGAGCCTGGATCAGTTACTATTTAAGTCCCCAGTTGAACTCTACCATGTGTACAGTTCTCAAATTTTGTTTCCTACTAACATCTAGAGTCTTGGTAGCCAAAATAGCACCAACACAAGAGGGAGATGCCAGCAGGCTTGGGAAACCTGAGTTTGCAGACCTTAAAAGAAAACTTAAGGGGGGAAATCCCTAATGTAAGGAATCCAGAAAACAGTAAGAACTGGGTGTACTCCTATGAAGATGGATTAATAATTTGAGAGTGGAGCACAGAAAACTGAGGAAAAGGAATGGAACAGAGAATCCTGGAAGGTCACGACTGCAATGTTGAACAGACACAATCCACACAAAATCATTTAGTTTTAGGCCCCATCTCTTTTCTAGATGTACTTCTTTATCCTATTGCCCAGTAACTAAACACAGGTGCTTCTGTAAAGTTTTGGAAGTTCAGAGCAATTCCATGGCAGCTGGAGCGGAGAATGTGCAAGCGCAGCTGCTACTGGTTCCTATGCTCTGCTGGCTTGCTGTGGGTCAGAGCAGGGGATAGATATCATTCCTCACTGTTTTCATCACATGGATCATATTATTTTTGCCTCCCACTAGCATCAGTTGGGGCAGGGTAAGGAATTATTCCAGATCCAGGACTGATGCAGTTCCTGGAATAAAATGAGTGTATGTCAGCATACTGAGAAGGTTCAGAGTTTCATAACTTCTCAATAGTATAAATTTATCATCATCATCATCATCATCACACTTTTCAGGAAGGCATTCAAAACAGCAGAGTAAGACGCTTTATTTGTAGCAAACCAAGTCTGATTACAACAACCAGTTGTAACAGAAAGCAGATTAATTTCAAATGGGAACACATTTAAATTAATTAGCTACATCAGCCTCTTTCCCAACAACCATTTAAACTGACTTGATTTTTGATATTTGTCTGATATTAGTCTTTGATATCAAGTCGTAATATCTTTCCATGCCCCTGAAACAATTTTAAAGCACAGTAGCAGACTATGTGTTACTGCTTATGGGTTCTCATACAATCACACCAACAGAACTGATTGCACTTATATGGACATCTCATTTTTTCCATGCTGCATTTTGAAATGCAACAAAACAAGTTCAGCAGACACTATGGCAGTACACAAAATGTTAATGTCCAAATCACAAGTAATCCTGGTTCTACTAGTAGCCCGTTTAAAAGTTCTTTTTTAAAATGCTACTGACCCCAAACAGCCTTTGAGCTTCATTACTAAAACAAAGGTCAACTGTAGTTCTTTTGTCAACTTTTCAAGAGGAAAGAACAACTATGTAAAATGAGGCTGGACCTTGACAGTTTAAAATGCCAAACTGGACGATACAGCTGATTTTAAGAAGTGCCTGAGAAGCCAATGTAGTATAGTGGTTAAGAATGTAGGACTGGACTGATCTGGGTTCTAGTCCCCGCTCAACCATGGAGTTGAGTGGGTGACTTTGGGCCAGACATAGACTTTCAAAACCCAGCCTACCACACAGGGTTGTTGCTGTTGTTAGGATAAGATTGAGAGAATTATGTAAACTAGCTGAATTCCTTGGAATAAAAAAGGTGGGATATAAATACCTCTTAATGTTTAACGGTGGACCATTGCTGGCATTTATCCACTTAAGTTTCAGGGACATATGTGCTTTCACATCTATGGACAAATAAATGCCCATGGGCAGGTAATTGCTAGAACATATTTCTGGCTGAGGGAAAAATCAGATTACTAAAGTTTTGATGAAAGACTGCAACTTAATTCAATTGTAATTTAAACATCCACAAGAAAAATAGATAGTAGTGATTTGATCATTTACTAGCAAGATGAACCATTAAAACGCAGCCTGACCTATTTTCCCCCATCTGTTTTGCTCGTGATATATAAAGTGTAAAAGTGAGGTAAATTGTGGCTTTAAAAAGAGGGAAAGCAGAGTAAGGGCACTCTACTTGGTTCCCTGCCCCCCACAATATGGTGCTTGTTTTGGTTCACTGCACAGTCAAAAAAACCCTTGAAGCAAGGGGGGGGCACCCTAAACACGGACTGACGTCCCTGAAAAAACAAATCAAGCACAGAAATCGTGACGGTCATAAATGTTCCCATCGGTAAAGATGAGCCTTGGCTTGGCTTTACAGCTGCTTTTAAATTACTGATCATGTTCCAATCTGTTTTTAGCACGAATACACGCTTCAAAAACACCACCTACAGGTATTGCCCGCTTTCGGGTCGGCAACAGAGTTAAATAACTGACATATGACCATGAACGACGTGGGCTTCCTCAACTATCACCCTGAGGGATTTGGGGCCGGGGAGGAGGGAGAGTGTACGTGGGAAGACAAGGCATTAGGTCAAACTGCCAAGGCTTCGTGACTCCGAAGGAAACGCGCGTCCTGCCAGCCCCGCCCGAGAAGCCGCTCGACAAGCGCGCGAGGAGAGCCAAGGGGCGAGCGGCGAGATGAGCGAGGCTGGCAAGCATGGCGCTCGCCTCCGTACAACGCAACGGCCACAAGCGACGGCCCCGCGCGCTCTCCTGTTGCCCTGGCTACCGCTCTCGTCGGCCTTGTCGTCGTCGTCCCCGCCGCCGCCGCCGGCCGTTTTGCCGCCATTCCGAGAAGCGCGTGCCGGGCCGACGAGTATCGGTTGGCGCCTGGTCGTGCCTCTCCCGCACCCCTCCCCGTCTCCCCACGGACATCCGCCGCCCCAAGATAATGCGCCGAACGAGGTCCCCGTGGGGGGCCGTCGCTGGAAAGCGGCGGTATTGGAGGACGGTGGGGCAGCCGGAGGGCATCGTGTCGGAACAGGACACAGACCATCACTTTGTGCACCGCAGCACCATTCCTACCATGCACTTCCAGCCCAGCTTGCCCAGGTCTCGCTTACTTCCTCCAACTTGCAAGGGTCGCGGTGAGGGGGGGGGGGCGACCAGCAGAACCGGAGAGGAGGACAGCACCCCCTCGTCCTTTCCTCCCGCTGCCTGCGAAGGAAGCTCCTCCTGCCCGGAGAAGGTTGCTCTGCCCTCTAGCTGCCCGCCCTGCTACACAAACTCTTCTTTTTAGTGGTGACCAATTCCCACAGGGGTTAGGCCTCTCAGGCTATCACACATTAACTCCCTCGGCTGCACTGAGTACCAGTGTTAGGGAGAAAGCATTGATTTGCTGTTCTTGCTGTCCGTCCCAAAATACTATAAAGATCTACCATATCCTCCTCGGAGGGGCCTTTTTCCTACAGTATAAAAACACACAAACCCACCTGCACATGTTTTAAGAGAAACTGCTCCAACGAATCTTTTAAATTTATTTTCACTGTACTGTAATCGCTAACATATGATAAATAAGAATTACCAAGAGAAAGATTTCACAAACTGAAAGAGGATTCAGCCTTTCCTTCCCAGGTAGTTAGTATGACCTACATTTGGGGACAGATGGGCTACTGTATTTTGTGTTTGTACATTTGTAAACTCTTGAGGGCTGATACAGAAAACTGACTTCTAACTTGTTAATATTATCAATTTTTAGATTGCCTATTCCAAAACTGGAGGATACTATCAACAGATACTTAGCTGCTCAAAAACCATTATTGAATGATGAACAGTACAGGTATTCAAGATACTTAAAATTACAGAAAAGCACCAGCTGCTCAAGTTGTCTGTTCTCTTCTGTGAATCTTGACTATTTCATCTTACTCTCCCGTGTTCAGGGAAAGAGCTATAGCTCACTGGCAAATAATCAGCACTGCACATAGAAGGATCAATATTTCAGGCCTCAGCATCTTCAGGTTGGCCTGAAAAAAGTACTTGTCTGAAACCCTGGAGAGCTGT